GCCAGGACAGGTCTTTGTACACGCGCTCACCAACCGCTGTGAGCTCATATGCGAGGCTGCCCTGTTGTGTTTAGAAAACGGTTTCCTTTAAAGGCATGCATCACCTCTGGCTCTTACTTTCTGTTCCCTCTTTCACCAAGATCCTCAATCTTGTCTCATTTAGGGCTGAGCACTCCTCAGTCACTTAACACTTTGCATCTTGGCTAGTTGTGGGTCCCAGTGTTAATCACAACCTACTGCAAAAAGGATCTTGGTGAGGTCGACAGATGTGCTAATAGATGTGTATAATGAGAAGTCATTAAGAGTGGGTTTAATACCATGTCCTGTTGGCAGAGTAACTGTAGTGGATTCCTTCCTAAGGCTCGTGAGCTGTCTAGCCCACAGGTTCTTGAGCTCAGTAACTGTGCCAGGTTTGGGTTGCATCTCGTGGATCAGGCCTTAAATTCAGTCAGGAAGTAGTTGACATCTGTGCCACCATTGTACCAGTGGGCATGTCTTGCCAGACTGGTCGTTGTTGTAGAGTTCACAGCAGGGTAAGATTTTTCTCCAGTAGCGTACATAGCCCCATCCAGAGCTGTGAAAATGTAGCCAGTAAGGATGAAGCTCCTAGGTCAATACAACTTGATATCTCCATGTTCTATGACTCAAGTGTTTGTGACTTTAGCAATAGGGTCTGAATATCAAGTTTTGGAAAGTAACCAAGAGTGACAGCAGTAGTCTACGGTTTGGTGGTCTGTGGGCCCTCAGTGGCCAGCCACTGCAGTACAGGTACCCCATTGCTGACATTGGCCCTCTGATCTGTTAGCCTGTGACGTGCTGTCTGTTGGGGCACTGTTGTTTCATCCAGGGGACTGTGTTTAAGTTCTCTTAGGTTGTGAAGGTCTGTGTCTTAGGGAGCTTCTGCAGTCCTGGTTCTCGTCTGCCTTTTCTGAAGGTCTTCAGGTTCTCCCTCCTCCACCTCCTCTTCTGCTCTGCCCTCCTGCCTCTCACCCCAGTCAACCCTCCCTGTCCCTTCCTTCCTAAGTCACTGTGGCCTACCTCCCCGTCTTTGATCCCCTACTTTCCCCGTGATTGCTAACCCCTGCCCTCTGTGGGTTCCAGATGAGAGCCATAGGTCTAAATAACCAAAGCTAACATACCGTGTTTTCTTTCTGGGTCTGGATTACCTTACTTGGCGATGTTTTTGTAGTTGGTGATGAACCCAGAACCTTCTGCACTGTAGGCCACCTCTGTACCATTGGTCTGCTGTGCAATCCCAACACCATTGCTATCAACCACTGAAATGTGGAAAAGAAAGAAATTACCTTGGGATGTGTAACTGTGACCTTTAACTGTCCAAGTCAGCCATTTTCCAGTGAATACAAAAGTGGAAATAAAGTTTTCAAGTTAATGCATGTTAAACTATTTGTTTATTACTTTATGAGACTTAAACGGTAAGTACTGTTAACCTAGTGAATAGGTAGATGCCTTAGAAACTTATTTCTCAGTGTGGTTACAGTTCAGGGCATTGTTGTATGTACGTACATGTTTGGGACTCTGTAGGCATTTTTATGAAAGACCCAGAGTGGTCTGGTACAGCCACTTAAGAATCTGCTTTAACTTGCTGATGGAATTTATTAATCTTTTAAAAAGTTTTTATCGGCATAATGATTATACACAATGGGTTTTATGGAAGTTTCATATGCACATTTACACGTGCGTATCCCCTTCCCTAGCCCCTTACACTCCTAATAGTTTCCTTTCCCCATAGCCTCTTTGGCTTTTGTGTCTTTTGTGTGATCCAGTGGGTTTCATCAGGGTTGCTTATGCGAGCTTGGGCATCTTGCCAATGGCTACAGTGCTGAAGAAAATGTCTCTTTTGGCCCCATCAGTCACCACTGCACAAAGCCTCAGGGAGTGAGGGGCCCTCGTGAGCCCCATAGTGTATGTGGGCAAATGCAGGCAAACACGAGACAGATCCCACTCTGTGGTCCAGGCTTGCCTTCTGCCTCAGCCTCCAGTGTGTTAGTATGGTGCTGCATACCTGAAATACTCTCGGAAGCAGCTGGTATTCATCGAGAACTTACTGGGGGCTAAGCACATGGTTTATTACATGGGACCTTCTAGTCAAGTGCTCGTGGTTTATTTTCTTCCATGTTAGCTGTAAAAGTGACACGAAACATTGATTTGTTTAGTTTAACAAAGCCCATGTAAGGGACACAGACAAGGACTAGAACAGTCTTGGCTAGTGAGAGCTCTGCTGTGTCTGCCCACATCACAACATGGTGTTCCTGCAGTCACAGCCACTCGGGGGGGGAGGGGGTAGGCGCTTGCAGGAACAGGATTTGGGGTTTTGACTGTAGCAAATAATGTGACCGGAAGCTTTTTGTGCACGCCTGCCGCATGCCATTAGTATGTATATGTGCCTAGGGATTGGCTTGCTGACCTGTAGTGACCCTCCTACGTCTTTAGTTTCCACAGGCAATGCAAAACTGGCCTCGTATTGTCCTGTGAAACGTGTTGCTTGTACAAGTAGTTACAGTGATTATTTCTCCATATCTTTTCATCATAAGAAGTTTTAATTTTCACCGATTGGGTGTTATTTTTCTGCTGTTGTTAGTAAAGTTGGGTACCACTTAAGCCATAGACATCTTTCTGTAGCATAGGAGCCTTGTGTGTGCATACAGGGCAAGCTTTGTACACTGAGCTGGATACCTCAGCCCAATGTTTTCTCTAAAATGTTTGCACACACATCTTGCCAGTTTTTGTGTGCATTGTTTTTTCCGACATCTAGCAGTCCACCTATTTTGGACTTGGTTGCTTACGTGTGATATTTTCTGCTTTGGCTCAGGTTTTCACTCTGTTCTCTTAGTTGAAATTTTGTGTTTTAAAGTACTGACATTATGTTTAATTGATTAATGCTTCCCTTAGGAAACTTTCTTGTGAGTTACTGAGGATTTTCTTTGGGGTTCTGTTTAAAAGCTTCTGTTTTCACATTTGTCATTGTAGATCTATAACCCACCTGGGACTAATTTCCACAGGACGGCACTCGATTTCATTTTTTTCTTCCATGGCATGCCCACTTGTTTTGATTAGGTGTGTTTTAACTCTTTTTGTTGTTGTTATTTGGTTGGGTTTTTTTTTTTTTTTTTTTTTTTTTTTTTGGAGACAGGGTCTCTCTGTATAGTTTTGGAGCCTGTCCTGGCACTCGCTCTGTAGACCAGGCTGGCCTTGAACTCACAGAGTTCCTCCTGCCTCTGCCTCCCAAGTGCTGGGATTAAAGGCAAGTGCCACCAACTGTGTAACTCATTTGATCCTCACTGTAGGTGTGGTTACTGCTCTTAATCCTTGCTTCTTCAGTTTTCTTGGTCGGATGAAGCAGGAGTGATTTCCTTCAGAGTCCTCAGCAGTGAGAGGTGAGCATGTATTAGCATCATCTTCTCCTGCAACTCTGCGGTCTGCTTTGATAGAGTACATTGTGAGCATACATCTCAATTGCATTTGCCCTGGTCTCTATGTTTAAGAGATAGCACACTGTTGTATCACAGGAAAGACAGAAGAAGTGACCCCTTAAGGCAGCTCTGTGTGCGCATGAGCATGTCCATAGAGACAACTTGACATGGTGTCTTCCTTGGTTACTTTTCCTTTATTTTCTAAGACAGTTTCTCACTGAACCTGGAGCTCACCATTTATCTGCTAGACTGCTTGCCCAGTGGTTTCTCTCCAGTTCACCTCCTACTTCCGTGCTGGGACTGCAGGCATACGCCACCATGCATACGCCACCATGCCAGACTTTTCACATGGGTGCTGGGGCTCTGAATGCTGAACTTCTTGGCTTGTGTAGTAAGTACTTTACATGCTGAGCCATCTTCGCAACCCCAAGTTCCTATTTTTTGGACAATAGCTTCTGCTTTCATTTTGCTAGTTTAGTAATGATGATGTCACACATCATTTCCTTGTGATTTTGGCCCAGCACTGATTTTATGCTGTGACATAAGTTACCGGAAAGAAAACTGTTGGACACAGTTTTGGAGTTGTGGTTTGGGTGTATATAAAGCTTATTTTATAGACAGTGTGTTCAGAATGAGATGGGCTTTTGTGGTGTATGTAGGGGAACGTTAACTGCTGTTAACTCCCACTTTGAGGCTTTAGACTTAGATTAGTGCTCACTTGGCGTGACCGGGTTTTACTGTGTGAGTCTCATGGCAAAGGGAATTTATCAGAATCGTGGTATTGCTTGAGAATTGGCTGGTAGAGAACAGGGCCCAGTGTTGTCAGAAAACAAGTTGCAGAAGGAAGCCTGGCATCTTTCAGGGAGGAACAGGGTAGTTCTGATGCTGCCTCCTCCCTCTTCGTCTGAGTGAGGTTCGTACGCACTTAGTTGTATTCCTGTTTGTTTGAGACTTAAGGATTTTTTAAAACTGTATCTTTATTCTTTGGGACTTTCCTACAACATTTTTCATAAATTAAAACATGGATAGCAAGAGTTTCTGTCATTACTCTTTTTAGGTGGCTCAGTGGTGGTGGGTGGGCGCCGCTCTGTGCCAGCATTCTGCCTCCCATGTGGGCCATGGGAAATGCTGCCTGTCTGTTCGGTCTGTACCCTTCAGGAAGAGTCGGGTGAGGCCCTGGAATCCAGGGCGGGACTGTGCCTGCCCCCCTCGTTGCAAGCTTGCCAGAGCTGGTGCACAGGTCTATTTTTAGCTCTGTCTGATCTGTAACTCTTAGTCTTTTGCTCTTTTCCCTCTAATTTGCAGTTTTCTTTTTGAAGCTCCGTCAGTTAGAAAGAGCACCAAAGGCATCAGACAGGGCACACTGATCGTGCCTGCATTGCACCGGACAGTTAGTTCACGCCTAAGTGTCATGGATCCCTTGAAGGGGAATGGAGTTCCCACAGGTGGAAACTGAGGACTTACGATCCCAAGGAGATGCAGGTGGAGAAGCTCTGCGGCGTTCCCAAAGAAAGCTGTGGATGCAGCTCCTGTGTCACTAACCGGCTCTTTCTATTTGTTCTCTCGTAGGCCGGAGTGCATGTTGGGAGAGTCAGCTCGCAAGAGTCTGGAATCTGACCCAGAGGACTTTTCTGATGAAGCGAATACAGAAAACCTATACAGCACCTCTCCCCCGAGCACACCACGGCAGACGAAACGCCTGTCAACCAAGCACCAGAGGAACAGCGTGGGGAGGCCGGCCAGCCGGTCAAATTGGAAAGGTGAGCTTTCGTCCTGAAAGATGCGCGGGAGAGGGCGTGTTAGGAGCAGAGTGCCACCTTTCTGCCGCCAAACCGATATCGCGACAGGTCTTTTCGACAGTGTTAATGACGCCTCTGTTTTAAACTTCACCTCTATGTGGCTGCAGGGCTTCTTACTTTGGAGTATCACCACTAGCTGCATTGCTAGGAGAGGAGAGGGCCAGGTGGTTATGCAGTAGAGGAAGCTTTGTCTTGGGTTGTGTGAAAGAGGCTAGTTGTTTGCCAGCCTAAAACCCCCATACTACCGGGATGGCCTGCAAGTCCCCGTTTTTAGCTCTCGCCTGCGGTTTCCAAACTCTTCTCTCCAGCAGTGGTAAAGGGGTGATTTGGGAGGAGACAGCCAGGCTGTGGTTTTCTGAATTCTGGAACTCACCAAAGCCTCTGTCTACTGCCAGTGACAGTGTGGCGAGCTCTTGCTTGCTGTCTTAGTTGGGATTCTATTGCTGTGAAAAGACACCATGGCAGTTGGGGTGGTTTGGCCCATTATCATCATGGTGGGACATGGTGGCATGCGGGCAGACATGGTGCTCGGGAAGGAGCCGAGAGTCCTACGTGTTGATCCACAGGCAACAGGAAGTGAACTGAGACACTTCCTGTAGCTTGAGCATATGAGACCTCAAAGCCCACCCTCACAGTGACACACTTTCTCTAATAAGGCCACACCTAGTCCAACAACACCATACCGTCTAATAGTGCCCTTCCCAGTGGGAGCCATCTTCTTTCAAACCACCACATCTAGCGGCTGCTAGATGGGACCTCCAAATGCAGAAGCCGCAGAGGGAATCTGGATGGCACCCCGGATCTGGAACCCACTGAGAGAAACTACTCTTCCCCTTTCTCTTTGTGTACTGCCTCAGAGCTCAGCTATATCCTCTTCCTAGAAGCAGATACACGGCTCTTTGTGTTCGTATTTCTCTGAGCTCATCCTGACTGCTCCATCCCAAGGTGGGTGAGTGGAACTATGCCAAGATGTCGCCTGTGTGTGGTACGTTCGTCCTGCCAGCCCAGTCCCTGGGACCTCAGCGTTTGAGAGTTTCCTGTACAGTTCAGCAATCCACTTTTCTCAAGTTGGATCCCATGGCTTCTTGAAACGTATTGTGTTGCCTAAGATTTGGGTCCATTTTCACCTCCGCTGAGGCTTTCGCTCCGTTGACCTCTTGGTCATTTCTTCTCTGCTTGTCCTCAGCCAGCCTTTTCTTTTCTTTGGTCGGTTCTCATCTCCGCCTCCTGAGTGCTGGGATTAAATTTGAGCCACCCCCCCACCCTTCATCCCCCCCCCCAATGATTTTTTCCTTACCAGTAATTTTAAACTTTCTTTTAAAATGTTTATTTACAGTAGAATTTTGTTGTAGCTAAGTTTAGAAACCAATAACTTTGCATTAAAGCTTGTGATCTTGAGTATCTATCTCTGTCAGTTTTCTCAGAAAAATCCCTCACAGGTGCACTGGGGTGTCAGAGAAGGGTACCTGCTGAGTCTGGTGTCAGTCAGCGTTTGCTTGGTGATGGGACAACTGTCTGTAGTAGGTCCTCTTCTCGCGGCTTGTCGGGCATCCGCTCCCCGTCTTACAGACCAGCAAACTGAGACTTGGGGGTTTAAAGCAGAAGGCCCGGTTTTGTCACTGATTCTCGTGGAATCCGTTTGGACTTTTATCCCCAGACGTGTGACAGAGTGTGAGTGTAACCAAAGGGCCTGATTGGGTTTAAGTCACTACTTCAAACCCCGCCCCCCTGCTCCTGTCCTCCTGTCACAGAAAGAACGGACGGAAAAGAAAAATTGTCCCTTCCTTCTCAACGGCTTCAAATTACCTTGTTTCATAAAACTATAAAGTTCTAGGGGTGGCAGGGTCTTAGTCACATGACACATTGCTGCCTACAGTGAAGCAGCTGATACTCTCAGGGCTTTAGAGTCACAGCTGTCTAATCTGACCTTGGTGCCCTCCCTTTGTTACTGCACAGGGTCACACACTGGTTGTGAAGCTCAGAAACACAAACAGAAAAACCCTGACACTATAGGGGAGGATGAGCTGTGAGCCTGTCAGCCTGCTGTCTGCTTGCGTCTTTGCACAGTGTAAAGCTGCACAGTGCAGCTGGCTCCTGCATGCCACGCTTCCTCAGCTGCCTGTGCCTCAGTGGCCTGTGCCCCTGGCCCTGCAGGGCCATTTGCAGTTTGTCTCGGCCTCTGGGTCTCTGTTCCAGATGTTCTTGTGGGTGTGTTAGAAAGTAGCGCTGCATATGTAAGTTCTTTGTTGTCAAAAATTTTGTTCATAAATGCCAAGAGCAGATGTAACGAGGCACCCATCTAGGGCAAGTGAGCCATCTTAATAATGTGGCATTCGTATTTTAATAGTCCAGTAGCCCCGTGGAACTCATTCGCCCTCAGAACAGTGTGGCACACAAGAGTCCAAACACAGTAGCCATGTCACCTGATGCCTGGATTCTCTACTGGCTCAGGGACATTCTAGGGTGTAACCTCTGGGTATCACTCTCTTATCTGTAAGTTAGGTCTTCTCCTCCTCCTCCTCCTCCTTCTGTTGGTAACTGTCATCATTATTTAAACCAAAAAATATTACCTCAACACTTTGTTTTCTGTTAAAATAAAATTAAATTCTTACATTGTTTATGTCTTTTGATTGGCAGTCCGCAGTTTAGGACATGAAGGCGGAGGTCAGCTGTCTGTGGTCCCGTGGCTATCAGTTTAGGACATGAAGGCGGAGGTCAGCTGTCTGTGGTCCCGTGGCTGTCAGTTTAGGACATGAAGGCGGAGGTCAGCTGTCTGTGGTCCCGTGGCTGTCAGTTTAGGACATGAAGGCGGAGGTCAGCTGTCTGTGGTCCCGTGGCTGTCAGTTTAGGACATGAAGGCGGAGGTCAGCTGTCTGTGGTCCCGTGGCTGTCAGTTTAGGACATGAAGGCGGAGGTCAGCTGTCTGTGGTCCCGTGGCTGTCAGTTTAGGACATGAAGGCGGAGGTCAGCTGTCTGTGGTCCCGTGGCTGTCAGTTTAGGACATGAAGGCAGAGGTCAGCTGTCTGTGGTCCCGTGGCTGTCAGTTTAGGACATGAAGGTGGAGGTCAGCTGTCTGTGGTCACGTGGCTGTCTTACCTGACCTTTCTTCCTAGACATGCCCCCTCTTTCCATAGTTACTATTGTAGCTGTTGTTGCTGTGTTTAGTCTTCCTTTCTCCCGTTCATCTTTTCCTTCCTCTTCCTTTCCTTCTGTCTGTCCGTGTTTCTCCTTCATCCTTCCTATTGACTCCACAGACACGCCCTGTTTTAGATGATGGCTAAGGCCTGGCCCATCTCCTGCAGGGACTCCACAACTTAGAGGCAGCACACTAGTGTGGTCAGGTGCTTGAGGTCACCAAGAGTGCACAGGAGGGAGGGACCTTGAGAAGACCTACTGGGGGACTTCTGGAACAAGAGATGTTTGTGCAGTGACCAGGCTGAGTCAGGGAGAGCACGATTTCAGACTCGCGCATGAGTCATAACGATCCGCTGGTCCCTCAGAATTTTGAAGAGCTCCTTAGAATTAATCAGATTGGTCAGATTTCTTTTCAGAGCTTTCCAAGGTCTGTGGACTGGAGCATTTCTCCTTTCCATGGCTTTGTGAGTCACACTGCTAACTTGAGGACTGCAGTCAAAGTTGGACTCGCCGATCGGACAAATACATCCCTGATGAGATTTCCATTATTGTGGTTATCTATTGCCCTTTATAAGCCACCTTGAAACTCTGGGTGACAGTGGATCTAGTCATTGCTCATAATTCTGTCATGCAGATACTTAGGCAAAGTAGAAGGTCATCTGCCCATGCTGTCTGGACCCACAGCTGGAGCAGTTCCATTGGCTGGAAATGTGGCTTGTCATGGCTAGAGCTCCGACTTGAGCCCTTAGCCCTCTCCATGTGACATCTGCCTTGTCTCAGATGTTCCAGGTGGCTCCCTTGCCGTCATGTCTGCGTCTGAGCTTTGAGAAAAATGCAGGAGCAAAGGCCAAGTCACCAGTGCCTGCTGTTTGTGCCACTCATGGCGACCCTGAAGCCCTAGAGTTGCCGTCCCATTCTCAGATAGTCTGTCACCCAGGAAAGGTCAGATAGTCTGTAATCAGGAAAGGTCAGAAGCCCTGGCCTGGGCTGCAGAGATGGCTCAGTGGTTAAGAGGGCCTGCTGCTCTTCTGGAAGATGGGAGTTCCGTTCCCAGCACCCCAGTTCTGGACATCTGGTAGCCTCTTCTGGACTCTTCAGGCACATGCACACATGTGGCACACATGTAAATAAAAAGAATAGTAAATCTTTTCCAAAATGAAGTACCAACCTAGAATTTGTCCTCCCCTTGAGAAGTTTCTGTTCTCAGAGTGGCTCATCCTGAGTCGTGTTACACGTGAAGGCGTTGTTACATATGAGTGGCTCATCCTGAGTCGTGTTACATGTGAAGGCGTTGTTACATATGAGTGGCTCATCCTGAGATGTGTTACATGTGAAGGCGTTGTTACATGTGAATGGCTCATCCTGAGATGTGTTACATGTGAAGGCGTTGTTACATATGAATGGCTCATCCTGAGATGTGTTACATGTGAAGGCGTTGTTACATGTGAATGGCTCATCCTGAGATGTGTTACATGTGAAGGCGTTGTTACATATGAGTGGCTCATCCTGAGTCGTGTTACATGTGAAGGCGTTGTTACATATGAGTGGCTCATCCTGAGTCGTGTTACATGTGAAGGCGTTGTTACATATGAGTGGCTCATCCTGAGTCGTGTTACATGTGAAGGCGTTGTTACATATGAGTGGCTCATCCTGACATGTGTTACATGTGAAGGCGTTGTTACATATGAATGGCTCATCCTGAGTCGTGTTACATGTGAAGGCGTTGTTACATGTGAGTGGCTCATCCTGAGATGTGCTACACTACATATGTAACACTAACAAACCCATTGCTGAGACTACAGTCTCTTTTGGTGTTGGTCAGGAACAGACCATTCCCAACTCCAGCTGTGTATGTGAGTTTTTCAAAGCCCTGACTGACATGATTCCAGCTGTGGGGGACATGCTGCCTATGACACTGTGGCTGCTGCCTCATCCATTTGAAATCCCTGCGTAACTTACTTACACTGTGTGAGTCAGTGCATGTGGAGGGCAGAGGCCAACACTGGCCATTTCCTTGATTGCCCTGCAGTTTCTCTACCGTGACACGGTCTCTTGCTGAACTTGAAGGTCGCAAGGTCAGCCCCACTGAGTGGCCCGCAGGTCTCTGATCCTCCCGCCACCGCCGGCAGCACTGGGCTCACAGATGGCCGTCATGCCCGCCTGACTTGGATGTGGGAGTTAGGGGTCCAGGCTGCTTGAGTGACCAGGACCTTAGGCACCGAGCATCTTCTCAGCCCAGTGCATCTCCGCTCTGATGTCTCGTCACCTCATTCTACCAGGGGATTTAAATAGTTAGCTGCTGTTCTCGGGGACTCAGTCTCTGTCACGCTTCCCTCGCCATTTCCCTTCTTAAAGGCGAAGGTGTTTCCATCAAATTGAGGGGTTCAGTACATTTGTAGTGTGGAATTCGACAGTTTGTTCAGTGGTTGTGAGTAGAAAAGAACACAGGTGTATAGAAAGAAAAATGAATAGCAGCATTAAAAACTTACCAAGTGCTGGGTTGTGATTGCCTTCAGGTGTCAGCCTTTGAGCCTGTGATACTCAGAGTGGTACCCGGAGTGCAAGTGCGTGTGATTATCAGTGTGCTTTGAAGCAGTGACTAGCTTACATTTTAGAGTTTCACACTGCTCATTTTTTTCCCCCTTTCCATAGAAAAAATGAGCACACCCAGTCCGTCCCCACACAGAGATGCCGGGAAGGGAGTGGGGCCTGTGGAAGAGCACAGCTACAAGCAGGAGAGGAAGGTCCGAGCCACCCTGAGAACCTCAGAGCGAGACCACAAGAAGAGCGCTCAGTGCTCCTTCATGCTGGACTCGGTGGCCGGGTCTTTGCCCAAAAAATCGATTCCAGACGTGGATCTCAATAAGCCTTACCTCAGCCTCGGCTGCAGCAACGCCAAGCTGCCGGTCTCCATGCCGATGCCTATAGCCAGAACTGCGCGGCAGACTTCGCGGAGTGACTGCCCAGCGGATCGCCTGAAGTTCTTTGAAACACTGCGCCTTTTGCTAAAGCTTACCTCAGTCTCGAAGAAGAAGGACAGGGAGCAGAGGGGACAAGAAAACACGGCTGCTTTCTGGTTCAACCGGTCAAACGAACTGATCTGGTTGGAACTCCAGGCCTGGCACGCAGGTCGCACCATCAATGACCAGGACCTCTTTTTATACACGGCTCGCCAAGCCATCCCGGACATCATCAACGAAATCCTCACGTTCAAAGTCAATTACGGGAGCATTGCCTTCGCCGGGAACGGGGCTGGTTTCGGCGGCGCTTCCCCGGAGGGGCAGTGCAGAACCCATCACGGGGCGAGCGGTACGGGCTGTTGGACGTACCACGAGCACCTCCAGCGCCAGAGGGTCTCTTTTGAGCAGGTGAAGCGGATAATGGAGCTGCTGGAGTACATCGAAGCACTTTATCCGTCCTTGCAGGCGCTGCAGAAGGACTACGAGAGATACGCCGCCAAGGACTTCGAGGACAGGGTGCAGGCGCTCTGTCTGTGGCTGAACATCACGAAGGATTTAAATCAGAAGCTGAGGATTATGGGCACTGTTCTGGGAATCAAGAACCTATCAGACATTGGCTGGCCAGTGTTTGAGATCCCTTCCCCTCGGCCATCCAAAGGCCACGAGCCGGAAGACGAGGGCGAGGACTCGGAGGGAGAGCCGAGGGAGCTGGAGAGCGGCACGGAGGGGAGCGACGGGGAGCGGACCCCCAGCCCCAGGGCGCCAGAGCTGGGGCGGTCCGCATCCGCAGACGGTGTCTTGGACCTCCGCTCCCAGGACTGCGCTCCCAGGAGACTGGAGAGGCTCGAGTCCGAGGAGGACCCTGCAGGCTGGGGGGCAGCAGACTGTGGCCCCGAGGCCGGCTTCAGCAGGCATTGTCTGACTTCTATTTATAGACCGTTCGTGGACAAAGCGCTGAAGCAAATGGGGCTAAGAAAGCTGATCGTGCGGCTCCACAAGCTGATGCACGGCTCCCTGCAGAGGGCCCGCGCAGCTCTGGCGAAGAGTGGCCATCCGGTGGAGGTAGGTCCCAGCGCCACGGCGTTAATCCCAGCTGCTGTGCAGTGCCATCAACACGGCAAGGCATGCGTGGCGCGTGTGGGTGCGTACATGTAACTGCTGCCATAAAGGCTTGCGGTAAGGGGGGCCGTGGAGAGCTCATCCAGGTTCAGTGAGCGGAGCGGGAGTGGCGTGCGCATGGGGACACGGATGGCCGTGTGAGGGCCGTCTCCACACGGGCGAGCTGCGTGTGCAGTGAGGAGGAGGCGGCCCTGGGCGGCCACAGGCTGCTGTGAGCATGCAGCCAAGTCAGCGTCACACGCATTTCAAATGGACACGGCCTCCAGAGCCACAGGTCAGCCATTCCCTCGTGCATTCACTCGCCCGTGCGCTCGCTCGCTCACTCAATCACTCCTTCACTCACTGTCTCTCTCACTCATTCACGCACTCACTCATACTCACATTCACTCACACACATACACTCACTCCTCATTCACATACTCACTCGCTCACACCCAGACACACATTCATTCACTCATACACTCACACACTCATTCACTCACTCACATTCATACACTCATTCACTCACACACAACTCACACTCACTCACACACTCACACACACTCCTCATTCACACACTCACTCGCTCACACCCAGACACACATTCATTCACTCATACACTCACACACTCATTCACACACTCACTCGCTCACACTCAGACACACATTCACTCACACTCACACTCATTCACTCGCTCACACTCAGGCACACATTCATTCACTCACACACACACTCACACTCATTCACTCACTCACACACTCACACTCATTCACTCGCTCACACTCAGACACTCATTCACTCACACACTCATTCACACTCACTGAATCTCTTTGCTGCTTTAATTTCTTTCTTTAAAGACGCAAAGTTCTTGCTATATAGGTCTTCACTTTTTTAGTTAGCGTTACCCCGAGATACTTATTTTATGTTGTTTGTGGCTACTGTGAAGGGTAATGTTTCTCTGATTTCTTTCTCAGCCCTTTATTGTCTGTATATAGTAGGGCTACTGATCTTTTTTTTAAATCTTGTATCCTGCTATTTTGCTGAAGGTGTTTATCAGCTGTAGGAGTTCCCTGGTAGAGATTTTTACAAAGCAAACCTACAGATGTAAAATAACGATTTGTTGCCAATTTCGCATGGTGAATTGTGTGTGTGCTTTAGGAATTCATCTACAGAGGCATCAAAGCACTCGTGGCAAGGCAGGGTCGATGATTTTATTTTACCATTGTCAATTTTTACTGAAAAGTGTTAGTTGTGAGGTGATGCGTTTGGCGAAGGCTGTGGTGAGAATTGCCTCCGGATGGCTGAAGTAGGAAGCGCCCGCTCTTTTAGTTGGGTTCACACAGGGTCGGATAGTAAGGAGTCACGCGTACAGCTGGAGCTCGGCAGTAGGGACTAACCACACTGACAGGTGAGGGGCCCGAAGTCACTCTTACCTTGGTGCAAAAGTGAGAGTCTGTGTTCCCACGTCAGGGACACAATGCCTCCCTGCACGTGTGTGATGTGCATGTATGAAGTGTGTGCTGTGTATACATGTGCTTATGGGTGTGCACACTCATCCCGAGTTCATTTTGTCTTAGACATGTTACTGAGTATTTCAGGGAAAGAGCCACAATTGTTTTCTGGGCTCGAGGACAGTTTCATTAAAGTTTCCAAGAAAAACCCCAGGGTAGACCGTCTGTAAGTCTCTGCAGCTGCCTGGAGAAGGAGAATGGAGCAGAGAAAGGGGACGCTGGCGTGGGGGTCAGAGGCATGACGGGCAGGAGCTCCAGAGGAAGAGTGAGGGGTGGCCCAGAGTGTGAGGGACGCAGGCTGAGGAGAGGGAGCAAGAGGGACCGCAAGGCTGCGCTCTGCCAGGCAACCGGCAGTGGCCGAGCCAGGGACGGTCCTCATCACTGACTCAGCCTCTGGTCCTCAGACTTCTGTCTGGGAAGTGCGTGTGCTAATGCCTTCCTGCCCACCCACAGAGGAGTTGAGGCCCCCAAATATACTCATACATGCCGTAGAATCTGTATGTGTCGGGTAGAAACCCCTTCACTTTTAGGATTATTGTTACACCATGTTCCTCTAATCAAAGCTAAGTATAAATCTGTGTGAACTCTTTATTTTTAAAATGTTATTTTCCTTTTAATGCCTTCCAAATAATGGTACATTGGAGGCGTTTGAGCCTGGGGGTGAAATGCACTTGTGGTAGTGAGGGCTGAGCCCTAGCACTTGCAACAGTATGCAAGCCCGTGTGGTCCTGCTTCAGGGTTGGCAGCCTCCAGATCGGCCCGTGCCACAGACAAGGGTGAACATGCTATAATTGCGTTCTGTCTTCGTGGTTTCTGGGGTGATCTCATTGAAGGACTTTATAGAAAAGAGATAACATTTATTTGTGATTATTTGGTTTTTTCCTTACGTATGACTTTATGTCTTTATTCCTTATGATTAAATTACTTGCAAGCGGTGTTTGTAAATGACATTTAATAGCCCTTTGGAAGCATGCTCTACAAAGTACTTTTTCTCTAAAGCTTTATTGTATTTATTGTTTAAAAGAATTGCGAACTGCAGATGTCCCGCATCTGCCTGCATTTATTTTAGTAGCATGAGCAGCATCCATGCTAATGGCCTGTGTGAACCCTGTGGTTGTTGCACGCTGGCCTGCCGACTGCTCTCCCCAGGATACACCCTGACCCCACAGGCTCACTCCAGTTAGTGGATGCATTATTGTCAGTGTTCCTGCAAAAGACACTTGTTGGAAATCCGAAAGAGTGTTCCGTGAGAGACTCTCAGGTCTCACATGAAAGACTCATAATGCCAGCAGAATCTCCCCCAAAGCCAGGGGATGCTCTAGCCTCACCCCCTTGTGCACCTAGAGCTGCCCTGAGGTCTTTGTTGCTTTCTCATTTACCTTCTGATTGTCTTGCGCCTTTGCCGAGGAGCCTGCTTGGCTTTTAGGGGCCGTCTGCTTCCTGTCACCTCACTGTGATCTGATTTTCCGGGTGTCTGGTGGCCATTTCCAAATAGCAGGCCAGGCTCCCTGAGTGTGTGTGCGCAGGGCCAGAGTCTCCAGTGCCTGTCTTCCTGAGGACACCGCCTTTGAGTACAGTGACCCCTGCCAAAGGCGGCTGCGTCATGGCTGCTGTGGCCTTACTGCTGTCTTGGGGATGTCTTCTGTGTTCACACGGGTCTGCAGTTCCTCGTCCATCTACCTAGAGCAGGGAGGATGTGCTTGCTGTGGTGTAATGGTGTAGCGTGCCACCGACTCTTTGCCCCATATTTCTGTTGTTTTCCCCCCTGGTGAGAACCTGTCTGAGGGCTTGTGCGCCTTTATTTACGCTGTGGGGACTAACCCTGGAGCTGCCGGGTGGAGGTCAAGTGTCTTCCTTTGCTGTTGTCTTTTCACAGGTGGTGCACTTTGCTGGCGCTCCTGGGGAGGGTTAGTTTACTTCAGTATAGTGTATTAGGCATTAACAGTACTTGGCTGCATTTGCTCTGCTATCTCAAATACCGAGAATGTGCTCGGTTACTGTCTTAATTGCTTTCTTAGATTAGAAATTATCATGTGATTATATGTTTAATGGCCAATACAGTGCTGTTTGTCTTTGACGGTTAAACACTGTTCCTGTAGCACAGGACCTGAAGAGCCTGCCTTTCCTTTATGTTTAGAGTGGACACAGTATCAGGGACCAGGTGCCTGTCAGGCAGTGTCATTTCTCTGGTTTACCCCGAGGAAACCGGGTTAGAGAGGAGGTAACGTCCAAATCACAGTGTCGTGGATTGTTACAGGAGCCTGAGCTGTCTGACTTTAAAACATGCAGTCAGCATTCTCCAAAGAGCTTTAGACACACACACACACACACACACACACACACACACACACACACACACACACACACACACACACACCCACTGCCTGTCCTGGGTAGCAGGTTAGAATCCTCTGGTGTAGAATGCAGGGCTGTCATCATGATCAAATCTGCGGTCTAGCTAGCCAGGCACTCCAGCCTCCAAGGAGGCTGAGGTGATCCTCTCTCCTCTCGCTGCCGTTCAGTGCAGTGTGAAGCTGCCGGGCTAACTTCTCTGCTTCAGACATTGCCTGTCTGATCTCATGAGTAAAGTCACAAGAACTTGGATTGAGTGACAGCTGGAAGCACATACTCGATCCTTTGCCTGGAGGTTTTCTGTCTTAAGACAGATTTACTTGGGGGGGGGGGCTGTGCCACATAGTTTGACAGCTTGTGAGCCTGATAGTAAGATTGGAGTTGGACGGCAGTCACGGGGAGAGCTGGATCCCATGGTAACAGCATAGCAACAGAGAGCAGAGAGCCAGTAGCAGCCGGCGCCTGAGGAGGAGGAGAGTCAAGTAACTTGGTCGAGGGTGCACACACTGTACGGAGCACCAGGGTGCAAGCCCACAAGTCTGGCTACGCTTGCCTGCTCGTGGCAATACTGTACTGCCTCCTAGAGTTAATGCTTTATTCATGTGTTTTTAACGTCATACACTGACCTTAGACACACACAATACTACTTTTTAATTTAGTGGCTAATGCTTGAAATGGGAGGAGTTCTCCTGAAACTCTGGGATGAGGTTTTCCACTGGAATACCAGGGTTGTTGATTCTGGGCCTCATTCCCACACAGGGGCTGCTGGCAGGAGCTGACCAGCCTAAGAGTGAGTTCACCTCAGCCCCTCCCACATCCGCCCCAGTACACCCTTGTCTGCTGCCTACTTGGCTGCATAGAAATTTCAGTTTGCTGTGGCATCCTTAAGTAGCTCAGGAACAAGTCTGAGCACCAGGGGCTTACTGCTAGTTGGAGGTCTGGGGGTCAGCTGTGTCATGGTGCTGTTGGGGGAGCTGGAGAAGGGTGGAGGTGGGCTCTCGTGGGACGGAGTGTTCTCCATTAACTTACTGTGCAGACACTGGTTTAGCGTTCCTGTAATTAGCTGGAGATAAACAGTCTTTTCCTCAGGACCAGTGCTGGATATGACTGAGTGACTAAACATGCCTCCGAAAGACACGCGGGTTGTCAGAGACTTGCTCCCCGAGGCAGCCACAGACAACTGCAGGAGTTGGTCATTCAGGCCACCTCCTGAGCTAACTGAGTCATTGGTCAGGCACTGGCCTGTGCAGATTCACAGAGCGTGATTGCTGCAGGTAAGGCTGTGTAAGGCCTGACACCCACCTACCTTCATCCTCCATGGCTGGTACCGTCAGAGTCTGTGGATACCAGGGTTTCGGGCTGCGTAGGAGGACATGGCCCTCACAGGCACATAGTGCACACCAAGTTTCAACTAGAGGGACAAGCAAGCCTGAGAACAGGCCCGTGTGGGGCCCATGGGTTAACATGCCGGGACCCTGAGAACAGGCCCGTGTGGGGCCCATGGGTTAACATGCCGGGACCCTGAGAAGCTACGGGAAAGAGCGCACAGGACCCGGGTGTGGCCAAGGCGGCTGAGAGCCATGCTGTGCACTGGAAACAGGAGGGATGGGGGCAGGAAGGCATCTTGACGAGGGTTATTGATGTGAATTGGCTAGTCAGAAACCAAGGGTTATTGTAAGTCAGCTATTGAGCCCTGGGAAGTTGTAGCTGCCGGCGTGAACCATAGGTCTGACTCCATGTCTTTGCCTGCATTTGCTGCAAAGCAGTGGGACAGGAGACGTAGCAAATGGTCTTTGTAAGTACCTTTTCTGCAGTTTGCTCTGTTTAATCTGTGTAAGGTGGACAGTGAGTGGGGGGGGGGGGGGAGAGAGAACATCGAGGCTAGGCAAACACTTTATCCTAAGCTACAGCCCCTAGCCCAGGTCTGTTTGTAAAATAAACGGCCTGAGGAACTCCTAGGTGCTTCCAGAACCGTGCAGCTAATTACATGACCCAAATCTAGGCTCTCTGACTTTTGAACCTTGATTTTTTTTTTTCCTCCCTCACTGAACTATGATATTTCTACAGTTGCAGTCAAAATGATCTCCAGGGATAGTGTGGTTGGCACGCTGTAGGGTGCAAGAAATCCTTAGAAAGTACCATAGGGTGAATCTTGGAAATCAGGGTGAGGTAGGGAAATTCCTAGAGGAGCAAGCAGCCCTGGCCAAGGTCAGCATGATGGACACATGTGTGAGGGTCAAAGAAACCCTGTATGGGAGCATCGAGGAGTGATGTGGCCATCTGGGAGGGTGGCAGCCAGGCCAAGGCTTTAGCTGGTGGACGGAAGGTGGCCTTGAAAGGGTCAGGGGAGTCTGCGTGTGGCAGACATCGGTTCCTGTAGACTCCGGTAAACTTACAGTTTGGATACCATCAGGTGAGTCCTCTGAGTGAGTCTTGGGCTTGGCTCCTGTGTGAGGAGGAACAGAAGGTGGGTCAAAGCCAGAGTGGAGAATAACCCTGAGTGACAAGAAGGGCAGACTGAGCAGACTGATGACACTGCAGGCGCAGCTCGAGCTGCAGTTGCAGATGCAGGAAGTTGAGATTTTCAGACTTTGATGACCGCACTTCATAAAAGAGGTCAGGGTTTTTAAACACTGGTGATAGGTGGAGTTGGTGGTGCTGGTGGTAATGCCAGAGGCTTAACGATGGGGGAAGGAGCGTTCCTCTGGGGGAAAAGCTTAAGGACTGGAGAGGGGGGCAACTGAAGGGGTGCGTGACGACATCCAGGACCTCCAGGCAGTATGAGGTGGCAGGTGACTGAGGGCTGCTCTCAGAAGCACCTGTCTTCTGCAGCATCAGGAAGTGTGACTCCCATGCTAGCTTGGCTGAACTCTGTCGTTTAGTTTCTCAAAAATGGTTGCTTAAGAGTTTTGTAATCTTTTTGTCTTGTAATTTTAACGAGTCCTTGAATTCCCAGTCTAGACATAGTTGTCGATAGCACTGTGTGTAATGTGTCCCGATTTTTTTTTTTTTTTTTCTTTTTCTTTTAAAGAAACTTCCTTGTTCTGCCCGGGGCGAGAGTGTGAGTTGGCTTTCTAACACAGGGACTTGGGGGCTGTGTGTGAATGTGGGATTGTTGGAGAGCCGTTTTCATTTTTGAACGAGAACCTTGTACAAACATCAGCAGGTTGTAGCACAGCCTATGACCACAGCTTCAGGCAGCGCCCTGCCCACAGTTTTAATCTGTCTTGAACTTTTGCTGCAGTTCTCTGACTTTCCAGGTCCCATGTGGGGCTCGGATTACGTGCAGTTGTCGGGGACACCTCCTTCCTCAGAGCAGAAGTGCAGCCCCGTGTCCTGGGAAGAGCTGAAGGCCATGGACCTGCCCTCCTTCGAACCGGCCTTCCTAGTGCTCTGCCGAGTCCTGCTGAACGTTATACACGAATGTCTGAAGCTGCGGCTGGAGCAGAGGCCTGCTGGGGAGCCTTCCCTCTTGAGCATCAAACAGGTTTGTTTCAAACACTGTCTAACAGGCAGCGATTGCCTCTTACTGCGGCCTCCTCCCTCCCTCACTACGAACAGCGAAAAGGACATGTCTGTCTTAGTGTTTGTTTTTACTATTCTTTGGGGGCAATCTGGAACCAGGAACGTTCTTTATCTGCAGTTCCCAAAGATAAGAGTGTGTTTCAGCTTTTTTATCATTCCTTTGTGAAAAGCATAAAAACAGGCTAACCCGTGACTCTGTCAGTCTTGATGGCCGGCAACAAAACCCTCTTTAAACAAATCTATTTATCAGCTGGGCTGTGGTGGTGCATGCCTTTAATCCCAACACTTGGGAGGCAGAGGCAGGTGGATCTCTGTGACTTTGAGGCCAGCCTGGTCTACAGAGGGAGTTCCAGGACAGGCTCTAAAGAAATACAGAGAAACCCTGTCTCAAAAAACAAAACAAAACAAAACCAAAAAATTTATCTTTGGTGGTACTTGAGATGAGACCCGGGACCTTAACATCCCAGGTGACACCTGCATCTGCATCTTTGAAATGAACATTTATCCCTAGAAGGCGGCTTAAGTCCATATGGAATATTGTGTTGGAAGTTTGTGTCGATAGGAAACTCTCTGGAGATAATCTGGTCTCCGTGCTTACCTAAGCAGCCATGGAGATTCTTCCTTCTGAGCTGGAGTTTCAGGGTGGGCTCTGTGTGTGGGGTTGTGTCTCAGGGGCAGCATCAGGGTGACTGGAAACAGTTTCATTGCACAGAGTGAAGGCTGAGGAGAGTATCTTTTCGGCTTTGTGCTGGTAGCATGTCAACATGGAGTGTATAAGATAGTCTTTCAAGTCCTCACAGCCACCTGCTCGACAGAGGCTGAAGGGCTGTGTGGCTCTGTGAATTATAAGACAGGTGATTGGGGTCACAGAAAAGGTGTGTCTGTCTGTCTGTCTGTCTGTCTGTCTGTCTGTCTGGTCAGTGTGGACTAGGGTGACTAATGAGGTCATTTGGGAGTAGGCCCATGCCACTTGCCCCTCCAGGTGACACTCTGCACCAGCCAGAGCTCTTCCACATCAGCCCTGCTCCCTCCACCCTGTGGGCTATCTGGCCATAGCTCTGTCTTGTTCTGTGTGCTACAGTGGGCAGCCTAGCCATGCTAGTGAAATCCCTATCTCCGCCCCCCCTCAGACACTTGAGATACAACCCTGTCCGACAGGGTGGAGTCTACTTCGCTAACGGGGCAATTTATGTGAAAGCATGTCCGTGGCCAACAGTCCTAGGACTGATGTGCTATTTCAGGGAAAACAGAAAAGAAACTTTCCGCTATGAAGACTCGAGAGTCAGTAGTAAATACCTACATGCCATTTAATACAGAAAAGTAGGCACAGACACTTTTAGGAGATTTGTCTTGTAGCTAAAGTTATTTTAAAAACATTTAAGGGCTTCTGTCTATACAGTCAACCTAGTTCTTGTTTTAGAGAAATTGAAGAAAACAGAAAAGAACACAAATTAAAAGTAGTTCCCATTCTCCTGGCACCCAAGAGATGGCCATAGAGCATGTGTGTTTCCATTCAGCTTCCCTGCACACATACACTTGCTACACCGACCAGTAAGAAAGAGAGTTGGTGTGTGTGTATTGTACATGTGTGTTCATGCACACACATGTAAGTCTTCCCACTTTTCTTCAAATACTCTATCAAAACAAGACGTTAAATGGCCGCAGTACTCTCCAGGTACACGCACGCACGCACGCACGCACGCACGCACACATGCACACACGCATACATGCGTGTGCACGCCAGTCTCCTTTGCATCTCTCGTTATTTCTTGGGCCACAAGTGTAGCCGTGAGTAGTGCATTGCCCATCGTAGTCTGGAAAGCTGCAGCCTTTGCTTCCAAGCCACTGCCCTGGACTCTTGGGTGACTGCTGCCTCTGCAAATCAGTGTGACTGACGGTAGGTCTGTCCTCAGTGCCTGGGGCTTTCTAGGTTACCTCACCCCTGCCTTCTTCCCCCACCACACTCCACCTGCCACCCCAGTGTACTGCAGTTACTGCCGTCTTTGAGTTCTGATTTGCAGCTTTTGGTAGTAAGTGAAGCCACACCCTGCAGAAGCCGACACGTTTTCTGTGGTTTGTCGTTTAAATCTTGGTTTTGGTTAAAATTCCTGTTTTGTGAGTTTTTTCCTCTTCTGCCTGGTGTCTTACAGTGTACGCTGGTAAAAGTGGCCTGATTACGTGAGCTTTGTTCTCACTGTGGATTTACTTGTGGGGTGCATTCCAGCTGAGCGGTGGCTGCTGCGTGACTCTTCTCCGTGTGTGTGTGTGCTCCTGTGCTACAGATGGCCCAGTTGTCACACACAGCCAGCCCCTGAGGAGTCAGGGCGGGGGCGTTTGTGAGGACTGGCCGGGGTGTGCGGGGTGTGCGGGTGACGGCCGTGTCTCGTGTGTGCTCCCTTGCAGCTAGTGCGCGAGTGCAAAGAGGTCCTGAAGGGGGGGTTGCTGATGAAGCAGTACTACCAGTTCATGCTGCAGGAGGCTCTGCACGGCCTGGAGGAGACCGACTGCAACATGGATGCCTTTGAGGAGGACCTGCAGAAGATGCTGATGGTAAGAGAGGGGTTGTCGGCCATGTGCAGTGGGGGCGGGGCAGTTTGTCCTTACGCCAGTGGATGACATCCCCCTCCAGAACCATGGGACTCAGGAATAAAGGATCCCATAAACTTCAGAGTGGACAGGAAGTTGTTCAGGTGTGGTATTCGACCTCAGCCAGAGGCTAAGGCAGGAGGAGCATGAGGTCAAATCTAGCCCAGGCTACATAGCAAAACTGCCTCAAATGGAGGAGCGGGGGGAAGGGAAGGAGAGGGGGAAGGCAGAAGGTCACCTTGCTGTGACGGTGTGGGGAGTACTTGGGAGTCGGCATCAAGGCTGCCATCCACTTCTTCATGGCGGTATCACATCGCGCGTGGGAAGGTGGAGTGGTCTCTTCACGGTTCTGATGCAGAGCGCAAGGCCCAGATATTTTCTCCTCGGTCAGCTCATCATTGGATCAGAAAACGCCTTCCTTCCAGAGCCTGTTGAGAGGAAGCTGCTTGTCAGTGGAACATTTAAGAGAGAAAGGGATTTTGTGGCTCGCAGGCCACAGGTACAGCCCTCATGGCTGGAATGCCGAGATGGCAGGGGCATGAGGCCGCTGGCCACTTCATGTTCACAGAGCAGAAGCAGAAAGCAGAGAGTGCACGCATCCACTCAGCTCTCCTCCTCCATTTACGCCGTCAGGGTCCCAGCCAGGGATGGCACTACCGTGGTCACCCTGCCTCAGTTAACGCCAACCAGGCAATCCTCCACAGGGGACATAGTCTAGAATCCTCCACAGGGGTGCCAGGGTCCCATTACCCGTGTGTCTATAGATTCTGCCAACCTTCACACAGCAATAGGGAAACGAAGTGGGAACCGAGGAGGGAGAGAGCGTGTATAGTCTCAACCTCGGGTCGGTCACCGGGCATTTTGGCCGTGTGCCATGATTTGTACGTTAGAAGCCTTGGAAAATTCATGCCACGAATTTGGACATCAAGAAGGGGTCCGTGGGACGTGCTGATGACCCTGTCCAGCTAGAATAAGTAACAAGCAAAATCAAAGGCTCCCCTCTCAAAGGAACCTTGCTTACGCTCGTGATAAGCGCTCTTCGGGGCTAGTTCTCACCTCGCTGCGCTCCCCTGTGTTTTGTGACTGAGTCTGAAAGGTGGTGGCCCTTGTTGCTGACGACTCACGCACCAGTTGGCTGTGGCCTAGCGCCCCAGCATGCCGTGCTTTCCATGGTCCCTGTGTCCCGGTCTCCAGTTTGTATTGTGTGGTATGCAATAGGCCAAGGTCTGAGTGGCTGGGTTCTCTGAGACGTGTCGTCTGTATTTCTGGTTTAAGGTGTATTTTGATTACATGAGAAGCTGGATCCAAATGCTGCAGCAGTTACCTCAGGCTTCCCACAGCTTGAAAAACCTGTTAGAAGAGGAATGGAACTTCACCAAAGAAATAACTCACTACATCCGAGGGGGAGAAGCGCAGGCCGGGAAGCTTTTCTGGTAGGAGCCTTTGTGCTCAGGGATACCGCCCCCCCCCCTTGTACACACGTGTCAGTTATGAGCAGTCGCAGGTCCCTGCCTGGGTCCACAGGGTCTCACCTGGGTGGTTTGCCCCCGTGTGGGGACGGTTTTGTCATCTTCTGGGGAGGGCACTGCTGGCGAGGGGCTAGCACAGTGTTTGCCTCGCTCTGTGTGCTTGGCTCTTCGTGAATACTGGAGAAAGTGCAGCAGCTGTAAGAGCTAACCCCAAGGGGAAGTTTCAGACCTGCCGTGTCTCAGGGGTTTGCTTTTCGCTGCCTGTCCTTTGGGTGCTCCGAGGCATTTTATACTTGGACATTTCGGCAATAACATTGTGGGTTCACGCAACTACTGCGTACAGTTTACCAGCAGGGGTTACACTCCGTGTCGTGTAGTAGAACAGAGGCGAGGTGCGCTATCATCTAGGTTTCTGTGTTTCTCGTCTGTCGTGTGCTAAGAGAGAACTCGTGTTGATTTGTAACTGTTGCGGCGACAGCTGACTCCCCTCTGCTTTGCTGTCTGTCCCTGTCCCCCCAGTGACATTGCAGGTATGCTGCTGAAATCCACGGGGAGCTTTCTGGAATCTGGCCTGCAGGAGAGCTGTGCGGAGCTGTGCACCGGTCCCGATGACAACGGCGCTGCCGACGAGCTAAGGTGGCGTCACCCTGGCTGTCTGTCTGTCCCTCACTTCCCCGTGTGCTTCCAGACATGTCTGTTCCGACTGGACTGTGATGGACCCCGGGGGTGTGGGGGCACGGATGGCGTGAGGAGGGGGAGTCAGTGGTCTTTACATGGAAAGGACTTCAGAGCCAACCACGATGAAAATAGTGGAAGTGGATACTAACGGAAAGTAGCTATAGCAACCCTCTGCAGCCATGTTTTCCTAGAGCGCCTTTCAGGGTACCCTTTTGTCCCGTAGCGTTGCTACCTTCTAATGCCCTTTGGACATTTCTATTGTTGATGCTTGGCTTATCCCTTCTGTTAAACATTTGGGTAAATGCATGAGCCAGGGCTCACTGTGGAATTGATTCCCTTCAGTGTCATGCAGATGCCGCTGAACCGTTGAAATTGCACCCATCTAGAGAGAGAGACAGTGTGTGTGTGTGTGTGTGTGTGTGTGTGTGTGTGTGTGTGTGTGTGTGTGAAGGTGTTGCACATAGAACCATCTTGTGGCCATCTGTCTACCAGGTGCATTGCTGTTGGTCTGTATGGCTGAGGCATTTTCCTTACTGACCTAAACCTGGTGAAGAGCAGTTGAGTTTCAGAACATCTAGATGTAGACGTCCCCATCCCCACCGAGGCTCTGAGCTGGTAAAACACTGATGGCCAAGCCACCCAGCCAGCCTTTGTGTTTATAAATGTAAATTCTGAGTGAGACTTGTAAAATGGAGGCAGGGAGCTAGGCCACGGCTCCCCTCATATGCCAGGGATGTGGAGGGGCCTCGGAGGCCTGCTCCATGGTGTCCTGCCCGTGACCAGCTGCCATGGCAGCACCGTGCCACACAAGTGAGCATGAGCTGCCAGGTGGCCCTAGGGGGACTAGCTGTTCTCGCTACACCGGGTGTGTATTCCTTTCCAATTATTACAAGCTCTTAAACTCTAAGAACGTGTCGTAGCAATGTCTAGAAGATTAAACATACTGCGACTGGAGGGCTATTTGCTGTTCCCCTGTGTGCATGAAATACTCAAGTACTTTCTGCCAAAGCCGGAGGATCGAGCGAGCTCCCAGTACTCTGGTCACAGTCTCAGTAACTGCTTATTCCCATTGACGAAGTCTGCGGGTGCTTTTTGTTGCTGTGATTTGAAATTTGCTGCATGTTTGTTACTGGCTGCGCTTGAGCTCTGGTGCCCGGTCTGAACTAACGGAGCTTCGCCCCTGGCAGGAGGTCTGTCATAGAGATGAGCCGAGCCCTCAAGGAGCTCTTCCACGAGGCGCGGGAGAGGGCCTCCAAGGCCCTGGGCTTTGCCAAAATGCTGAGGAAGGTGAGTCCACCGGCTGACTGCTGCCCGTCTCTCATTTTGACCTTAACGCTGATCCTAAGAGACTTGTCTTGTGTGATCCTAGGACCTGGAAATAGCCGCAGAATTTGTACTGTCTGCCTCAGTCCAAGAGCTCCTGGACGTCCTGAGAGCAAAGCAGTATGTTAAGGTGAGTCCCATGGTGTTCCCGGAGCCCTTGGTCTCCTCCATTCTAAAGAGGCTGTGGGGCCCGCACACTGACTGGACATGTTCAGGGTAACACACTGCCTCATACTTACAACAACCTTCTTATAAATATAGAGGAAGAACCAACCACAGTGTCTACTGATTGTTAACGTAGTTGTGCGTATTTAAAGTAGTGACTACAATAGTGGATATAAACAGTAGTTGACTGTTGTGTTGACTGTAGTGTTTGCCTGAAGGTCTCTGTGAATCTTTGGCAATGCGTCCTAGTTGTCATCATAGTTACTTCTTGGGCCCATCTTTACACCTCTTTTAAGTTTGAGATTTATCACTTTGGGATCTGCATATGACATGTCATTGGTAACTATGCCAAGCCCAGGTTTCTGTTATTGTGATAAATCACTATGACCAAAGCAACTTGGGGAGGAAAGGGTTTATATGGCTCCAAATCACCTTTCATCTCTGTCGGAGGCCAGGACAGGAACTCAAACAGGGCAGGAATCTATAGGTGGGAGCTGCTGCAGAGGCCATGGAGGGGTGCAGCTTACCGGCTTGCTCCTGTGGCTTGCTCCACCTCAGCCTGCTTTCTTACAAAAACCCACATGCGTGAGCCTAGGGATGGCCCCACCCACAGTGGGCTGGGCTGTCCCCGTCAATCACTAATTAAGAAAATGCCATACAGGCTTGCCTGCAGCATGACATTACAGAGGTGTTTTCTAAGCTGAGGCTCCCTGCTCTCAGATGACTCCAGCCTGTGCCAAGTAGGCATTAAACCAACCAACCCAGGGGTGTGGCATACCCCTGACATGACATTGATTGCCTCACCTTCCGGAACCTAGCACTGACAGTTCTTCCCTCCTGAAGAATGAGGTGTTGGATGTGGGACAGTGAAGTAGTGCCCTATATCTGGAGAAACTTCCACACTGTCCCCAGTCCCTGCCCAGCCCCTCTCCCTTCTGCCTTGACCCTCCCATAGCTGAACCACTTACAGTTCAGCTTGCTGTCGGCACAGATGCCTCTCCCACACAGGAGTCTATCCACTCCTGCCCCCAGACCCCTAGGCCGGCCCTGAATTAATTCCCTAGATAGCCCATGCCTTCTGAGTGCTAGGAATGCAGACGTGTGCCTCTGCCTGGCTGTTTTCAATCTCGTATTTCTTTGTTTGAGACTGGGTTTTTTGCTTTCCAGGTACAGATTCCCGGGCTAGAGAATTTGCACGTGTTTGTCCCCGACAGCCTTGCGGAGGAGAAGAGAATTATTCTGCAGTTACTCAATGCTGCCACGGGAAAGGACTGCTCAAAAGATCCAGACGAAGTCTTCATTGATGCCTTTCTGCTTCTGACCAAGCACGGGGACCGAGCCTGTGACTCGGAAGATGGATGGGCCACCTGGGACTCACGGGCTGTCAGAATTGTGCCCCAGGTGGAAACTGTTGATACCCTGAGAAGCATGCAGGTGAGTGATGGTGCCCTTCGGTTGTGATGCTCAGAATGCTTTTATGAAACGGACTGAGGCACTGTGGCGGCTTCTAGACATCACCCCTAGTGATCTGAAGTGTGTGCTCCCCCAAATGGCTCACGACATGAATCGTTAGCATGATTATACCAGGAGTGTCCCGCAAGTTTAAGTGTGTCAGCTTATACTGGATGTCTGAAATAATCTGTGTGCTTGCTTTTTACCTTTTAGTGCTCAGTGAGTTACATTTAAAAGGTGTCATTGCATTGATGAGCCATGATTCTAGACAGCCAGTCCCAGGGTGCCCCTGAAGGACTGCAGCAGTTCTCACTTGTATAGTGGAGGGCACCTCGAGGGTCCCGAGCAGGTTCTGAGACACTGATGACCGCCTCACCTGTGCCCCGCTCAGGGGCGGGGAAGGCTGGTGTTCACGTGCACCTGGAGCGCTGCTGGACCAGCCACGGTCTCCTCCACCCCGCACTCTCTCTCTGGTGCACGTTGGCTGGTTTAAATCAGAAGTGTGGTAGCGAATGCCTGTAAACGTGTCCTCCCACATCTCCGGCTGACACCCGCCTGGCAGCCAGACGAGCGCTCAGCACGTGATCTGTCTGGTGTCCCCAGGGCCGCTGCCACAGCTCAGGCGCTGTTGCCTTTGCTGAACAGCTGTCTTCCCTGTTTGTATACAGATTTCCTGCTTCAAGCCCCTTTCTGTCCCCCAGTTCTCCAGCAAGCTTGTGGTTTGTTGGAGAGCGAGCATGTCAACGTGCAGATCTTTCTATCCTGAATACTGCGGTGACTCCCAGTCTCTTAAAGGTTAAACTCACACAGCCTCGATGCTGGAGTGATTGATTCCAGGGCTGGCATCCCTGCGTTTTCCATCTCCATGGCTGCTCCAACACATGCAACCCATGCTCGCCCACGCCCTTTCCCAGTGGACTGTGGGGGTTCTCTTCCCTTTGCTGAGGGCCAGGCCACTAGTGTTTGCTGCCCTGGCCTGTGGGAGCTGTGCCGGCAGCTGGTCTCGGTCAGGTGGCTAGCGGTAGCATGGTAGTCTTGAGGGCGGTACCGTTTGAGGGTGACGGCTGCAAGAGAGGGACAGCGGTCACTGGTCTGATCTGTTCTCAGGTGTTTGGTTTTCCTCCCAGGTGGACAATCTTCTCCTGGTTGTCATGGAGTCTGCTCATCTCGTAATTCAGAGAAAAGCCTTCCAGCAGTCCATTGAGGGACTGATGACTCTCCGCCATGAGCAGACTTCCAGTCAGCCCGTCATCGCCAAAGCTTTGCAGCAGCTCAAGGTATGGATGGTGCTTGCCTCTGGGTGTAATGCTGCGGGACGTCACGTGGTGTGCGGTGATCATTTGAGGGCTGTGAGTGTGGCCGCCGTTCTTCCTATGCACATATGTGCGCATGCATACGTGAAACATTTCTTCAGCGTTCTCCCCGACTGTGGGACTGGGAAGGATGGAGAGCGAGGGTCCCCTGACCTTGTGTAGCTCTCAGGCAGGGTTGGCTGTTTAGCAGAGGTGAGATTGGGATGGAGGTGTCTTGTTCTGTAAGTTCCTCTGGCCTTTAGCACTGTCCAGTATTTGCTACAGGTGTCCCTTATTGATAATGCCTGGTCTAAGTGTGTTTGTCGTGTTGTTTAACACATGACTCAGCCAAGTTGTGGGCAGGCAGGCAGGCGGGCGGGCGGGCGAGCGGGCGGGCAGGCAGGCAGGAGAGAGAGCCTGGCAGCTTTGCAGCTTCCCGGTCTGTTTTCACACTGTGTTGTTTGGTGCTTCCTTCTGAGGCCCTGTGTCCCTCCTCCCCCATTGTCAGTGAAGCCTTCGCAGTCACAGAGCTGTGGCCTCTTGGAGGCTCCCGGGAAGTATAAGTCGTTCAGTGAACGTCTGGTTTTCTTCTGCCAATCCAGTTCGTTTTATTTATGGATAAATCTCTTACCCTAATACCAGGGCGAGGGAACTGGTGTCTTTTCCTTTAGTTGAAGCCAAGGCACTCTGTGGAGAGCATGAGTTGTTGTGAAGTGTGGATTTTACTTGCGTTTGAGTATACTGGCTCTGGGGCACAAACTGTCACACTGAGAGGTCATAGGTCAGCACCTCCTTGTAGCATCTGGGAATCACATTATGGTAGCATAGCTCCCCGGAGAGTTTCAAAACAGGAAGGATGGGGAGCAACCAACAAAAGAGGCGTTTGGGCACCGACGTCGGTGGATCAAGGTTATGGGTCTGCTGACGGAGCGTCTGCTTTGACCTGTACATAAAAACGAGGAGCATAATATTGTAGGAGCTAAAGCTGGTGACAGAAGGTCAGCAGCACAGGCTGGCTTGTTGAACAACACCAGACTTTATTTCCCAAGCCTCGGAGGGTTTGGAAGTTTTCTGAAGAATGCTTTGCAGTGGAATGTGGGCCATGACTCCCAGTGCACAAGGGTGGGAGATGGGTGGAAAGAGGGAGCCAGGGTGATACCGCCCATACCAAGAGCTTAAATTACTGTCGGTTTCTCAGCCCCTACCCTGTTGGCGCTGGGGCCAGTGATTCTTTGTTGTATGGAGGGGTAGGGGGTCTCTCCTGCGGTGTGGGGTGGAGGCAGGAGTTTCCTTGTGTGTGGGGTGATAGTGGTGTCTTCTGTTGTTTGGGATGGAAGGACATCTCTCCCCACCAGGGGGCAGTAGACCCTACCTCCTCCTCCTGTTGTGCCGATGCACAGAAAAGTTGGTTGATGCACAGAAAAGCCCGTGACATCAGTGCCTATTCAGAGACCGCAGTGCACTTAGGTACAGCCGCGTTGTGCGGCTAGTTCTCTCTCACCTGGCGTTCTGTAAGGTGTTAAGGAGTACCTCAGACACGCGCTGGTGAAGAGAGGGCCTCTCCATCATGCTTGAAGTGCCTCAGTGGTCTGTCCCTGCGCCAACTGTGCTTTGAACTCTTTAGAATGACGCCCTTGAGCTGTGCAACAGAGTGAGTGATGCCATTGACCGGGTGGACCGCATGTTTACACTGCAGTTTGATGCTGAGGTGGATGAGCCCGAGTCCGCCACGCTGCAGCAGTACTACCGAGAAGCAATGATTCAGGGGTACAACTTTGGGTTCGAGGTAGGTACCAGACGCCAGGGAACGCCACACAGTCCAGAAGTTGCTTGTGGGTTGTAAGAGGCATCGTAGACTCTCTACAACGGGCAAGTCTTCCATTGATGTTAATTGGCGGGCGCATGGTCAGAAATGTCACCTTACACTGCTGGGAAGTGTCCAAAATGTCAGCTTCCTTTTCAACTGTCACATGTTGCCCACAGCTATCTACTATATTTCAGAACTTTCTACTCACAGCTATCTACTATATTTCAGAACTTTAAGAGTATTTAATATCATAAACGTACATTCTTAAACACTAAAAAAGTACTGCCCAAACGATATTTTGTGTCTGTTTGTATTCTGTAATTCTATGGGTTATCCAAAGTATATGTACTAATTAGATTTTGCTGTTCATTTTTAGAAAAGGACTTTTTAGGCAGATACAGCATTGTGTACAGCTACTTCTAGAATGGTTTGGTTAATTTTGATACACATGAAATCTTCTTACAGTATCATAAAGAAGTTGTTCGTTTGATGTCTGGAGAGTTCAGACAGAAAATAGGAGATAAATACATAAGCTTTGCCCAAAAATGGATGAATTACGTCCTCACCAAATGTGAGAGTGGCCGGGGCACAAGACCCAGGTAAGAACTGAGCAGCACCTCGGGTACAGGGGCGTGTGAGCTGGCGGTACTGCACACTCGGTTACAGGGGCGTGTGGGCCTGGCGGTACTGCACACTCAGTTACAGGGGTGTGTGGGCTGGGGCGGGGTGTGTGGGGCTGGCGGTACTGCACACTCGGGTACAGGGGTGTGTGGGGCTGGCGGTACTGCACACTCAGTTACAGGGGTGTGTGGGCCTGGCGGTACTGCACACTCGGTTACAGGGGCGTGTGGGGCTGGCGGTACTGCACACTCGGTTTTTACAGGGGCCTGTGGGGCTGGTGGTATTGCACACACGGGTTTACAGGGGCGTGTGGGGCTGGTGGTATTGCACACACGGGTTTCAGGGGCCTGTGGGGCTGGTGGTATTGCACACTTGGTTTTTACAGGAGGTGTGTGGGGCTTGCGATATTTTGTTTGTTTGGGCCATGTGAAATTATACAACAAGGTCATTCATTACAACTCAGTTGTAGTCAGTACTTTTTAAATGGTGGTATGTGTATATGAAGCTTGTGACTAGTCATAGAGGTAAACTTTAATATGTCCTAAACGGCCTGCCTGCTGAGAGGGACCTGCAGAGACGTGTGTGAATTGTCCCCATCTGTAACTCTGCAGAAAGTGGTCCCTGAGCATGGGAGTGAAATGTGGCCAGTCACTCCGTATGAGCAGACAGGGGACACTGGGAAGCCCCTTCTGAGTCGGAACAGCGCAGACATGTGCACTGCAGAGTTAGAATCTGGGGTGACAGGCTGACAGATGATTGGGTGTGCCCTCTGCCCCCTCCCACTTCACATTCCAAGCGTTTGTCCTAGATAGTAAATTTCCAATTACTTTTGCACTGACTTTAGTATTGTGTGGTCTCCAGCATCTCCCCAGCTACTGTGTGACTGCTGAATGTTTTCATGTGACAGGTGGGCCACTCAAGGATTTGATTTCCTACAAGCCATTGAGCCTGCGTTTATTTCAGCGTTACCCGAAGATGACTTCCTGGTAGGACATACTATAAACTTTTCTGTTGGTCCCTTCCATCTGCGTGGGGTGTTTTCTGTGGAGTCGGTGCATGTGCTCACATTACCACGAGGATGCTGAGCCTTTGAATACCCCTTTAAAATGGGGCAAGGTTTCCAGGGTTCTTGTGTTTTTACAGCTGTGCGCAGCTGACTGGTGGATTCTCCACCCTCACACTTCCGAAGTAGATGCTGGTGCCTGCATTTTATAAACTGCCAGCTCAGGGGCTGCCTTTCAGAAGTTACTGAAGAGCTGGGTTGACTATTTGCCCTCAGTGCCATCGTCAGAGTGCAGGACCAGTACCATAGGCTGTCATTGTTCTGAGCAGTCGCATCAGATGGCCATGCCCCTGCACAGATGTGGGTTCCCTTTGATTATGGAGACACTTGCTCTCTGCTTGTTGGCGCCGTTATTTCATGGGGGAACAGGCTGCCGAGTTGCTTTTACTTATGAAAGTGGGATGTATCACATAGCGTTTAAATGATATTTATCTTGAATCCACTTTATCCTTGTATCTTCTGCCTTTTAAACTAACAGGAAATACGTAAGGTCAAATAAACTGAGCCTAGTGTGCCACTTATAGAAAGAACTAAGACTTCCTTTTTTCTTCCGATTTTCCTTTGTTTCCAGAGTTTGCAAGCCTTGATGAATGAGTGCATTGGCCACGTCATAGGAAAGCCACACAGCCCTGTCACAGGTTTGTACCTCGTGAGGTCAGCACACACTGGCTGTGGTGACAGGGAAGAGGTTTGTCCAGGATGTCACAGCCATCTTTCTGGACCCTACAGGAGGGTTGAAATGCAGCAGTACATTTGGACTGGTTTCTTTGTCTGATGCTAATACTGCAGTCGGCTCTCCCTGTTAAAATCTTAGTATAGGACAATCGGGGAAGGGTTTCTCTGGTCCCCCCTGTATCTCACGAAAGAGGGCTTGTTTTTTCCATGCCTTTCCAACGTTCCCACTCACTTGAGTAAATTCTAAAGGGTTTCTCTGCATAGCCCTGGCCGTCCTGGAACTTGATTTGTAGACCAGGCTGGCCTCGGACTCATAGAGAGCCACTTGCCTCTGCCTTGTGCTGGGGGCATGAGAGGTGTGCGCCACCGCTGCCCTTCTGGTTTCAATTTTTAAAAATGAACTTCTTAGCTGGGCTGTGCTGCATACACTTTTAATGCCCCCAGCACTTGGGAGACAGATGTAGAGTTTGAGGCCAGCCTGGGCTACAGAGTCAGTGCCAGGTCAGCCAGGTCAGCACAAAGAAAATCCCTGTCTTGAAAAATAAAATATGAAGAAGGAAGGAGGAGAAGAAAATATTAAGAAAGACTGTGTCATCCTTGATACAGTCTGTGAGTAAAACAAAGTCATAATCATAACAGAATAGAAGCTTTAAATGTACACAATAGTTCAGAGATGGTAAATTTGCCAAATGTCAGCTACTCTGGTTAAATGATAACTTGCTGGCCACAGAACAATTTAGTATATGAACAGACCTTAATCACTGCTTTCGTTTTAGAGTATAAAATTCATGTGGTTTATACACTATCCTTCTTCCCAAGGCTCTCATGAAATTGACAGTGATATTGTAAAACTGTTCCCATTCATTTATTGAGAAGAGCTTGTCTTCATAAAGCGCTGTATTCTCTTCATACCCTTGACTGGGTCTAGGAGCGTCAATAGAATTTGATCTTCTGATTTCTTAAAGCATTTTGCTCCATGATCAGTAACCTGATCAAATCATTATTTGACATAATTTCTTTTTAAATTATTATTTCATATTGTGTGTGTGTGTTTGTGTGTGTGTGTGTGTGTGTGTGTGTGTGTGTGTGTGTGCCTCTGAGCACACACATGCATGGATGTCAGGGTGCATGTGTGGAGGTCAGAGGGCAACGAGGTTGGTCTCCTCTTCTACTATGTGTGTCTTGGAAATCTAACTCCAGTTGTCAAGCTTGGCAGCCAGCACCTTTACCCCCTGAGCCATCCTGGCAGCACAAGTAGAAATTGAACAATTACAAAGTACAGAGGTATAGAAGGTGGACATTTCTGGAAATTTTCAGTCTAAAAAGTTACAGAATGTAAAAGCTGTCATTGCCATCATCAGTGATAATTACTAGGGACATCTAAAGCAGGGCTTCTGACATGCCTGCTCCTCTACACTGCTGTAGACAGGTTCCTTCTGTGCTGTTTGTTAACGCTGCCCTTTGTCTCCCCACGTACGTACATACATACATACATACACACACACACACATACATACACACATACATAGATTCATACATACATATACACATACACACACACACATACATACACACATACATACATACACACATACATACATACACACATACATATACACATACACACATAGATTAATACATACATACATACACACATACACACATAGATTAATGCATACATACATACACACATACATATTTACATACATAAATACATACATACATACATACACACACACACACACATACATACATACATACATACTTACAATGGGAGGCCAGAGATGGGAAGGGGGAGAAAAGGGACTCTTAAATGTTTTGTGCGTGATGAACAATAAACATGTTTTCGTAGAGTTTTGTTTTTGTTTTATCACAGTGCTTTCACTTGACGCCCGTGTGGTAAATTCTTCTGGTAATTTTTGGCTGAGCGTTTGCCAGTGTCTCTGGCTTATGGCATCAGTTCCATCAATTGTTTTTCCTCCTTTCCCATGTTATTATGGCATTTACTCCATTTGCCATTGCGAGACATGAGAGGACGAAGTAGACATGGACGGCCGCCCCTCTGACGGGCACTTAATTTAATTTCTATTCGCAAGGGATCTGCAGAGCCGCACTGTGGTGCACCGTGTGTGCACGTCTCGTTACTAAGAAGAAATAGACAGAACATTGACGCAAGGGTTTCCATTTGGGGTGAACTGTATGTGAACTAAAATTCTAACACAAGAAGAGAAAATATGTCGTAGCCTGAGGGATGTAGGAACCAGGGGGCTCTTGAAAGAAAGACGTGTTAGAACAGACAGACGGTGACTTGTCAGTCACTGCTTCTGCGTGGCTCCTGGCGAGGTAAAACTGTGTCCGTTTTGTAGTAGGAAAAGCACTGGTTTTGCGTTTTACCTTTGAGTTTCGTCTCATTTTTAGGCTGGGATGGAGATTATATTCCTAGCATGTGCTAGGCCTGACTTGAGTCCCCAGAACCATATAGTTTGTCAGTAGTAATGACATCTAATTCTAAATGTCATAGGGTTTTTTTTTTTTTATTTCGGTTTTATCTTAAATTGCTGTGTTAGTCTTGTCTTAGCCCATTTGAAAGGAGAAGAGAAGTTTGCTCTAGGGAGAAGCCGGGGAAATTGTGCCCATCCCTGGCCTGGTCTGGCGTGAAGTAGTGCCACATCATTGTATGTGTTTGGGTTGCAGAGATCTCCACCCAGAATCTTCACAGACGTCTGCATGTATACTTTTCATGTGTGAGTGTGTGTGTGTGTGTGTGTGTGTGTGTGTGTGTGTGTGTCAGAAAGGGTGCCTTCTTTTATTGGCATGCTGCCAAATATGCCTCAGTGGCTCACAGGGACCCGATGGGTGCCAGTCACTTGTTAAGCAGATGCTATGCACTGTTCACACCGTGCTTTACAAAGGCATGGTTTCTGTGGAGAAAAGTGGGAGTTAGCTGTGCTAACTCTTATGAGGGTGACATATTTGTTAATATTTGCGGTTTTTCTTTTTCCTTCACCCAGTAAGTGAATGTGTCTTGGTCACTGGCAAAGGCGGTTGCCATTCCATTCACACAGTGGCCTGGGAGGCAGGGTTGTGCTGCCCACTCTAACAAGTGTGCTTTGTTGCCATGTTCGGCAGCTATCCATCGGAACAGCCCCCGCCCCGTGAAGGTGCCGCGATGCCACAGCGACCCTCCCAACCCACACCTCATCATCCCAACCCCAGAGGGATTCAGGTATGTGGCGCTCCGGCGCCCCGGACTTGTCTCTGCTTCGCTTGCTGGTGCTCTGGAGTCAGCCGGTGCTTGCTGTGGCGTGTAGGGGCTTTCCTGCTAACTGGCCAGACGCTTCCTAGGCCTCTTCTCATGCTGTCCCGAGGACACTCCGCAGTGTCTTAGTTGCAGGAGGGCCTAGCTCCCAGCTCCCTTCACCACCCCAGCTGCTGGGTGCTTCCTGGCTTTGGAGGAGTTCTTTCTGTGGTTTGGAAAAACCACCTTAGGAAGACAGATTTGAGCATGCAAAGCCTAGTGCACATGTGAGGACCGCTCTCTTTAAGAGCGGAGGAAGCTGGAGTGACCGCCCCACTGTTGACATTCGTGAGTGTGGGTATAGTTGTGAGCTGAGTGTTCCAGAAGCACGCATGTCCACAGTGATGCTCTCGGGTTGGCGTTTTTGCGTCCGTGGCGGTGAATGTCCTCGTTTTCTCACTTCAGTCCCTTTTGGCCTTCTAGCTCGTGTGGTAGGGTTTTCGTGGTAAGGCCCGATGGCGCTGCTTCCTTTAGTTCCTTTCCCTCACACACAGACCAGACCTCTCAAGTAGTGACGTACATGTTATGTTTTCATAGATTTCCCCCACTTCATACCCGTGTATGTGCCAGCCCGCCCCCTTCCCCCTTTTCTGCCTGTGTTCCTGAAGCCTCTCTTCTCCTCTTAGCACTCGGAGCGTGCCTTCCGACGCTCGGAACCACGGCACCTCTGTTGCTGCCGCTGCTGTTGCCGCCGCCGCCGCCGCCACCACCACTGCCACTGGCCGCCCTGGCCCGGGTGGTGGTGACCCTGCGCCGGCCAAACCCGTCAACACTGCCCCTGAAACCAGGTAGTCGCACCACACCAGCAGGGCCTCCCGCCCCATGGCCCCTCATGCCCTTCCGTCGGGTTCTTAGCGTCTTGTCACGGAGTGACAGCTATGGGCGTGGTGCTTGGGGGTCCACTGTGGGTTGTCACAGCCTCCAGACCCTGGGAGCAGCAGAAGTGGACCATTTCCTGATGGAAACACTTCTCTGGAGCCAGCACTGGCTAAAATGACACTCCCCGCCCCCCCTCGGCTCTGCCGGTCTTCGCCCTAGGGCACCAGAGGACTCCAAGCTGGGCCTAGCAGTTCTGCCTCCATCCGGTCCAGTGTCTGAGCCGAAGGGACACTTCCAGCAAGGAAGGGGGGTGTCCCAGACAAGTGGTATCAGAGAGGTTTAAGCAAAACAGGAATCCTGTAGGACGGTGCCAATACGGCGCCTAAGGGAAGCAATGTGGAAGTCGGCTGACAAGGCTTTGTGGCTCAAAGGACTAGGGCGATGTTACACTGACTTCACACTGGACTAAAAGCCCTGCAAACATTTCTAATATCACTACCCATTAAAATAATGAATAATTTTAGTCGTGTCTGTAGCCTTCAAAGTGAAACGTTTCACAGCTTAATCCATTAACAGTAAAGCCTAAAGGCAACTTCCATTTACCGCTTGCTTTTCATCTTGGAAAATGTCAAGGCATATGTTTTCACAGTTGCTTCCCTGTCACCATGGAGCCACCCAGCCTGTTGCCATAGTGACGTGTGCAGACTCTAGAGAGGCCGGGAGGACGTTAGTGGCCCTGGTGCCCCGATTCCCGCTTCTGCATCTGCATCCCACAAGGCTGAGCAGCAGCCACCTCGTGCTGTCCAGCGTCTTTACGGAGCACTGTATAATAGGTCAGGGTCATAACTCAGATCCACTGGACCTCGAGTAGCTTTAGTAGCAACATAGTTTTGAAGTTTTTATTTATTTATTTATTTATTTATTTTTTGGCAAAGTAACAGGGCTTGCTTTGAGATAATATCTGTGAACATTGGTAGGACAAACAAAGTCCCACAAAGGCTTGTGGGAGTCCGAGACTCCTGCCTGCAGCAGTCCTAGGAGTATGGTGGGGGCCTAGCGGGTGGTACACTCCCGCTCAGACCTGCCCTGAATGTGCTTGAGAACCCAAGACCCAATAACAGCATGGGCCTGAAAATGGGAGCCCCAGAGACAATACCGTTCAATGATACTCATTTTGTTGACTGTGGAAATAGCTATTCTAGGCTTACATTCTGCCATCCGTGTTTATTAGACAACAAAGTGGTTTTTTTTTTTTTTTTTTTTTTTCAGTCCTGGCCTTTTTCGAGCCAGCGTCCACTTAAGAACCGCCTGTTCGTTCGCAGTAATATTTCAAGAATCAGTAAAGATTATAGCTCACCCCACCCCCTACCGTCATTCACAAATGCACCTCTTCTTCAAGGACACTTCAGGCCACCCCGTGGCCTCCCAGCTGTGGCCCTGCTTAGGAGTGGACTGTGTGTCCTCCCTCTTGTCAGTGGCCTGGTCCTCAAGTGCCACCAGAGCTATTCCAAGGAGAGCAGGAGCGCTGCCCACGTCGGATGTCCACAGGTGCCCACACTGACACCTTGGCTAGTAACCCTGCTGCCCCGGGCCCTGCCCAGAGGCACCACACTCATGGACACTTAAGTGTGCACATCAGCCACTTCCTAAGGAACAGGGCCCATTTTCTCGTGGTCTTGGGTCACGTGGACTCCATTAACACTTCCGAATCTAATCACAGCCTTGCCCTGTGAGCTCATCCTTCCTGGGGACATTTCACTTTGTTGCAGGAAAGCAGCTGATGGACTAACCTTTCTTGCTCTCCAGTTGCTTGCTGCTGCTTGAGAAATCATTAGGCGCACCTTTCTTACTGCTAGACATTTGCGATCTTTTGTACCATGTAATGATTTTAGTACTCTTGTTATAGGTAATCTAAATATAATTTGTTGGCAGCCTTAAATATCCACCTAATTTGGTTGCTACCCCCTGTATCCCTGCTAGGCTTAAACCGTGGACCTTTCCACGCACTGCCGTTTAAATAGATGGGTTCTATTCGTGTCTCTGTTGTTAATGTAGAATGAACAGACTTTGGGGCCGAGTACCCTACTGTCAGACCCTGGGGAGACTCTATCTCATGGCTGTTCTGTTTATTCGGGTGGTAGATTCTGTGAGGCTTGCCCGTGTGTTGTCCTCTGCCCCCAGAGGCCAGTTGTATCCTCAAAATTAGCAGTCATAAGTCTCTGCAGACACTGCCATCACCCCCCCCCCAGGCGGTATTGTCCTGTTGAGAATCAGAACTCTAGAAGGATCTCACAGACCTTTGCATTTTACCCTCCGTTGACTTGGTAGCTCAGTTGTTGTTGTTCTAATGTTGAAACAGGGGTTCCAGCGTCCCAGAAAACGATCGCTTGGCATCCATAGCCGCAGAGCTGCAGTTCAGGTCTCTGAGTCGGCACTCGAGTCCGACGGAGGAGCGAGAGGGTGAGTGTCACAGTGTCCTTGTTTCCCACAGCCAGCCTACCTGTTCATCATCTTAACCCGCTGGTTCCGATGCCCTTGAACAAGACTGGTGGGAACCACCAAGCTTCAGGAGAGCCTTAGCCCTGCCCTCCTTGGCCTTTGAGTACAGCTTTACATATTCTAAGTCTTCGTCATTGCGTTTTATACAAACTATATCGCTCTTGGTATCTTAATTCCTCAGTACTCTACTTTAGAAATACACAGGTGTTGTAATGCAGTGGCAGCTCCCAAAACTGCCTCTCCGCTCGGGTCCCCTAGAAGGTTGTCTTCATGTGTGTTACTTGTTGGAGTGCCGTTTTCTAGAAGCGAATAGAGACATCAGAGTCACCGGGAGTGAGCCAGCAGTAGGAGCAGATTGGTAGTAATTGTCGCCAGTGACCACCTCAGCATAGTGTGGGTAGCATTTTCATGACTCTTCCGTTTGTGTGACAACCTCTCCTGCAGAGCCAGCGTATCCCCGAAGTGACTCAAGTGGATCCACACGGAGAAGCTGGGAACTTCGCACACTCATTAGCCAGACCAAAGGTAAGGGAGAAAGCTGCGCTTGATCACGGCGAGGCTCTGTGCCATTAGGTCTTGCACCGTTACCATCTGTGATCTCGTGGCACCTGACATCATAGTCACAGCCACGACCTTTCTGAACATTTTCTGTTTCTTACAATAAATCACAAGCCTTTGGATGTGCTCAGCCCTTAAGTAGCATGGGCCCTGGGTGTTGTAAGTATTCCCTTTCAGGCTAAGAAACCGGGGGTTGGGGGGTGGGGGGAGCACACCGTGGCTGGTGGGAGGTGGTGGTTGGGGAGTTACTCTGAGAAAGCTGCCCTGTCAGCTGAGTTAGGGGGGAAATGCAGCTTGGTTAGAATTCCAGTGCTGTGATTCGGGTTCATGGAAGGGTTAGATTAACACAGGTTTTCAGGGTGGGGCGGCAGCAAGAAATGGTTTTGGTGCAACAGTTGCCAGGCCCCGTGCAAATTGGTGCATAGTCACACATGCCGAGAGAGACACTTCAGGCCCTGGGGCCAGGCTCTGGGAACCAGTCCCTGCGTCAGCCCACCCATAATGGCAGTACCCATGGACGCCATGTGGCTGGGACTCTGACGTGCTCTTGGAAACAAGTACTTGGTGGTCAGTAAAATTGGGACCCACCGGGACGATGTCCTTCTCTAAAAAGCTGCAGTTCCCAGTGACATCATTAAGAAATCTTTCCACAGATACTTCATCAGTGGGGTCCACAGCCTCAGAGTTGTGGAAAACTCTTGTAGACAAACCTGGTGTATCATATATTTGGGTAAAAGAAACAAGTTAGATTTCCAGCTTTAAAGAAAAATGATTGTAGTAGAAAGGAAGAAAACAAAGTAAACTAATTAAAGCATGTTATTTTGGGAATGCCACTTTTTGAATTAACCTTACCATCATCCAGATCTTCAAAGACCTTTGTCTGCTGGACAAAGCGGAGGCACTCCGTCACTATAAGTTACAGCTGTAGTCCATTCATAGCTGGGACATCTGAGTGTGATCAGCTCCGGTGTCCATCGGCAAAGGATATGACAGAAAGTGTCACACATGTGCATGTGCACGCGTGCACTCATACCATGGAGAACGGGGCATTGGCCAAGAAGGAAATTACGTCATGTCATGCAAGGGAAATGGATGGAGTTAGAGCTCACATGCTGCTGTTCACTTTGTGTTCTCTTGGAAACCAACTTTGCTACATCTCCCTGCAGACTCTGCCTCTAAGCAGGGGCCCATAGAAGCTATCCAGAAGTCAGTCCGGCTCTTTGAAGAGAGGAGGTATCGAGAAATGAGGAGAAAGAATATCATCGGTCAAGTTTGCGATACCCCTAAATCCTATGACAATGTCATGCACGTTGGGCTGAGGAAGGTGACCTTTAAGTGGCAGAGAGGAAATAAAATAGGTGAGGGCCGCCTTGCCAGAAGCAGCCCTCTTCCTGCTGTTTGTGGGTGACTCTTTCTGATGTTTTCCTTCCAATCTGTGTTTAGAGAACAATATGAAATGAAAATTGAGAAAGGCTTTTAGATAGTTCACTAACCTGACTAGTTTTGCTCAGTAATTCCAGAAGTTTCCTTTGCAGAATTACTGAAGTTTGCCCTCTTGTTCATCTGTGTTCTTTTATTCCCACAAGAATATTTGAAAAGAGACTAAATATAAAATCAGGACAGGACAGTCTTTTTTTTTAATTAACCCCCCCCCCAAAATATTTGCCCTAATTGATTTCTAGGTTGAATTAACTCTTAACAAAATAACTAGTGGTAGACTGTGATGTCCCAGACACTTCACCCACTTAAATACATTTATCTGCCATATGTTAACTCTGAGAGGCAATCACAGTTGTAAGAACTCTGTGGACCCCAGGAAACTAGAGATGTACTTATCTAGGACCAAACAGTCACATAATGTATAAAATGTCTTAACTGTAGCTCTTTATCTCCTTCAGTAATATGTCCCTTGGTTTAGCATCCCAAAAGTGGTATGGGAAGATTTCCCTCACACTTGAGGCCCTGTAGCAGTGTGGCCAGAGGGGCCACTCCCGCCTGCCCCGGTGGCAGCCCAGCCCTCTTGAGGGGAACCAGGGCTCAGAAGGGTTCTGGGACAGCACAGCACCTACTCATCTTCATAGCTGTCCTGGGGTCCCCTAAAGCTCTTCTCTGTCACAATGACAGTTGCAGATGGGATGTGATTGTCCAGAATTTTGGGTGTCAGGGAACACTAAGACTGCTTTCGTCTGAGTGAGCAAACTAGAGTGAGCAGAATGGTAGCGACTGTGGTGGGCTGCATTGACAAGTGCGTGTTGTGACTGTCGGCGTTGTTTGCAGGAGAAGGGCAGTACGGGAAAGTATACACCTGCATCAGCGTCGACACCGGGGAGCTGATGGCCATGAAGGAGGTGAGCCCTGGCTCCCGGGCCTGTGTGTCACACAAATCTGGGTAATTTAGGTCCATCAGCGTCGACACAGGGGAGCTGATGGCCATGAAGGAGGTGAGCCCTGGCTCCCGGGGCCTGTGTGTCACACAAATCTGGGTAATTTAGGTCCATCAGCGTCGACACAGGGGAGCTGATGGCCATGAAGGAGGTGAGCCCTGGCTCCCGGGGCCTTTGTGTCACACAAATCTGGGTAATTTAGGTCCATCAGCGTCGACACAGGGGAGCTGATGGCCATGAAGGAGGTGAGCCCTGGCTCCCTGGGCCTTTGTGTCACATAAATCTGGGTAATTTAGGTCCAGGAAAGCCACCGTGTTTATGGCCCTGGTGTGGTGTGCAGCTGGCCCCAGGACTCTTTGAGTGGTGACTCACTTGGCCCGGGTCCTGTGTTGTAGCCTTTGACACTTGGGAGCCTCTGGCAGCTCCCCTGGGATGACTTGGCGGGAGATTGGTGGCTCTCGCGTAACTGCAGAGTGGGTGGGCGTGCCCTGTGGCGGCAGCGGGGAGCCCTGCCCCTGAGGAAAGAGCTTAGGGATGGGGCCACCACTGCACCCTGAGGAACAGGCAGCCAGCTTCAGAGTGAGGGTGGGCCAGAGCAGGGGGAAGCTGAGGCGTGGCCGCTAGAGGGCTCCAGACTGGGGACCGGGGCTGAGGGGGGATTGCTGGTGACCAGCTAAGCTGCAGACCCAGCAGTCACCTCTGAACTTGGGTGTTTTCCCTTACCCTTGCCTGCCTTGCTCCAAATTGACCAAATACATCATCAGCCCATTGTGTTTTAGTGCTTACAAATTGTAATAGATAACACAATTATATCTATACTTATGGTTTATAGGATGTGTGAATATGTGGATAATGTGAAGTGATTGAATCACACATGTTCGCTTTTGAGGTTTACTCTTGAGGCAGTCTTTAAGTGTTCTTATTACCCGTGCTCATCCTCTTGACAGCCCAGATTAATTTGGAGGTGTTCCGCTAAGTGCAGCGGGAAACAGCAGCGCATCATGGTCTCGCTGTCACGTGGCGTCCGGTGGCGTCTGGCCAGACCCTGTATGTAGTTAGGACTCAGCAGACCATCAAGAGGAGACACGTGTGGGTCAGGCCACAGACGTGTGGGCTGTGACCCTGTAGGATAGGAACACTGACATGTCAGGGGACAGCTTCCCACCCTCCGTGCTGAAGAAGTAGCCATAGTAACCACAGTTTTCCTTCTCCAGATTCGGTTTCAGCCTAATGACCATAAAACTATCAAGGAAACTGCAGACGAACTGAAGATATTTGAAGGCATCAAGCACCCCAACCTAGTTCGGTACTTTGGCGTGGAGCTTCACAGGGTAAGCCGGCTGCAGTCACACTGTGGGGAGTCAGCAGGCCACAGCGCAACCCTTCTCTGCGCCGTCACAGGTCTTCCCGTTTGTCGGGAATCCCCATGGCTGCGCCACCTCTGCCTCCTCTCTGAAAGCAGAGGCACTCTTCTGAGACTGAGTCGCAGGTTGAGGCATCAGCCCGATGTCATGAGCGCTGACACCCATCCTGGCAGGCGGACGTTCTTCTCAAGTGCCTTTCCTGCCGCTGTGCCAATTGTCCCAACTGTTAGACACTCATTCTTCCCTCTGTTGTTAGTAAGCCTGCCTGGGCCAGGGAAAACCTGAGACCTAGGATGACCCGTGTGCTGAGCGATAAGACAAGGAAGGAAGACAGCTTCAGCGTGCTGGGGAGGAGCCATCGCCGCCGGGGGTGATCATCCTCTGTTTTCACTAATGGCTGTGTGATTGACAGGGATGTCCCAGTACTTGGTAGTACCTGTAGACACGGCTGTTGCTCCCTGTCTAAGGTTGCACGGCAGACGGTCTCAGGATGAACAATCCCAGACAGGAGGCAGGCAGCCCGCTGCAGGAAAGTTAGGCACAACTGTACCTCTCATTAGCACTCAGGGTGGAACCCACACCCCAGCAGGAGGAACACAGATTCCTCGGAGTGCGCCCGGGGTGCCCAGCGTTCCTGTATTCCCAGTGTAATGCTTGTTCTGTTCCTGCCGCAGGAAGAGATGTACATCTTCATGGAGTATTGTGACGAGGGCACGCTGGAGGAGGTGTCAAGGCTAGGGCTTCAGGAGCATGTCATCAGGCTGTATTCCAAGCAGATCACTGTTGCCATCAACGTCCTCCACGAGCATGGCATCGTCCACCGAGATATCAAAGGTGCGCCTTACCTTACCTGGCTCCCACGGGCAGTCCCCCGGTGCCCAGCCCACAGTGGGTTGGTTCAGCAGTGGTTGCTTCCGTGCCCACCTGTTACTTCTTCGGGTAAAGTGGGCCTGGAGCCAAGAACTGGCAGAGAACCCAGGAGCCCATGCACGAGCGGGAAGTCCTCGCTGCCTGTGCAGCCCACTTGAGAGGAGTCGGTTTCCTGAATGTGAAGCGTGTGTACTGCTTCTTCAGGCTGCTTCGGTGTAGCTGAGGCTGTGCTCGCTTGTGACAAAGCCCCCTTGCCCGTCCCACGCCAGGGTCTTTGTGCACTCGCATCCAGATGCGTGTTGTGAGTACATAAAGCGAGTGTGTGTGGTCAGTAGTACATGCAGTGAGTGTGGAGAGCTCAGTCCCAGTGTGTGTTTCCGGTGCGTGGAGTGAGTGAGGCATCCACGTCCGAATGCGTGTTGTCAGACAAAATGCCTGTGAAGCTGGGACATGCAGCCGTGGCTCTGGAGGTGAGTGAAAAGAAGTTGCGTACACCATACTTTCCTGTCGCAGGAGAGTCGCCACGGTCCCGTTTCGGAACTGTCACACTGTCAGTGCCTGAGCCACGATGATCTTTTTGAGGGGTCTGAGAGATAAAGGAGGAGGGTGCTTTCACCCCCGATTGGCTCAGAGTTCCATCCTGTCCTGTGTTCTGAGGTTCGCCTCCTGCCTTCTGACCAAGGACTAGACCACGTTTCTGGGCAGTCCTTGGTTACACTGGAAGCTGCTTTGGCCTAGGTCTGAAAATTGTTCGTGTTCTGCTGGGTGCCTCACCCTGATCCCCCTAGCCTGTGCCAGCTTGATGGCTGCCTTGTCAGGCTGCCACATAGCTGTGCTGGGTCAGACTGGGATTTACTGAGCTGTGATTGACCATGTCCAGTTGTCCTGCCTTCCACACGTCTCTGTACACCCACACAGCACAACCTCTGGACCCTATAATCAGTGTAGCTCATTGGCATCCTCATCAAGTGCTTTGTAGTTGAGCATGGCCAAGAACAGGCAGAGAACAGATTAAAAATGGCCATCGTGCAGTCCGTGTCGAGGCCGCCTCTGCGAGGCTCTAGCTAGTTCGAATAGAGTATCAGAAGTTCACTGGGCGGCTGAGTGTCCAGCGTGATACTGTGGTACTGGTGATTAACTACAGCAGTACCGTCTCGCCTGTAATGTTCTAGGCTACCCTGAGAGCTGAGCAGAAGTAACCCCAGGTCCTGGAGGTGGCGATAGATACATGTGTGTTGTTTATAGGAATGTTGGAACGGAAAAGTATAGAGCAGTTTCCAGCTAAAATGGGCTCAGAGGTAGTCTTAGTGTGTGTCTGTCTCTTAAAGTCCCCAGTATGTGCAGGCTCTCGTCTGTGCAGCCTTCGTCTCAAGAGAAACTGCCCGTGGCAAACAGTCCTGTGTTCGTTGACTGCCACACACATCCGAACTTTGTATTCAGTTTCTCTAAGTATGTCTTGAGTTTTTAATGAATTGTGTATCTTTCAATTCAGAACGTCTGGTGTTAGTTTGTGTTGATTTGCAATAGTTTGTAGGTGTGGTCCGTAAATCTTCCCGTGTTTGGACGTGGTACATGAAATCCCAAACTTGGTTTTGTTTAGCTTTTGAATGAAGTTTTTAGGAGTTTGGATTACCACGGAAACATCATGAGGTACCCACATTGTGTTTCAGAGCCTGCTCAGCAACTGCATGTTTCTGTTTAGGTGCCAATATCTTCCTCACGTCATCTGGACTAATCAAACTGGGAGATTTTGGATGCTCAGTGAAGCTTAAGAACAACACCCAGACCATGCCCGGAGAGGTGAACAGTACCTTAGGGACAGCAGGTAAGGACGAGTCCAGCTGGCCTCTGGGCTCTGGCTTGAGGGACGCCTTCTTCCCTCCAGGAAACCTGCTGGTTTACGTTGGTGGATTGGAACTGTGCTGGTTTAAGTAACCACGCAGCAATTCCTCATTATTAGTGATCCGTGTCAGGTTAAGTTTGCTGTTTCGGGGAGAATGCAGTTGACTGTAAATTTTGACATTCAGAGTTGCTCTTAAAAGAGAATTGTGTCCCTAAGATGTCAGCCAAGTTAATGTAAGTTTTCAGTCAACATTGGCTGCCAGTAACTGGGAGGAGGACTTTGCCCGCGATGGATGACCCGCTTGGTGCTGGCACTGTGTACTGCTGTGCCGTTACCATATACTGCTGCTAACCCTTGCTGTCTCCGTGTGTGACTGTAAAGCTTACATGGCGCCTGAAGTTATTACCCGAGCTAAAGGAGAAGGCCATGGCCGCGCAGCAGATGTCTGGAGTCTGGGGTGTGTCGTCATAGAGATGGTGACCGGCAAGGTAAGCATGCCGCGCCCCTGGAGGGAGACTCCTCCCGGGTCGAACACAGGACTGAGGCTTGATTGCAAGTGCTGTGGACACCTTCCTACTCGAGCTCCTTAGAGGTTAGTGAGGCCAATCCAAAGGGCGGTAAGGTTCACAGAAATGACAAGCTGAGGGACACCTGTCTGTAAGGCTCATGTTCATAGAGAGTTCTTAGTGAATTCGTAGCCTGAGCTTTAAAGTATAAACCCATGCAGCCATAACCATCTGAGTTTGACAAAGGTGCCACAAATGGAGAAGAGACAATCTGTCTGACCGACCGATGGCCATGTGCGAAAGAGTAACCCCACATCCTTGTCTCTCACAGCCGACAATTCCGGATGGGTCAGAGCCTTCACATAAGACCTGGAATTCCGAAAGTGTGCAGATTAGACAGAGATAGGGCAGTATTCAGGATATGGGCATAGGCAAGGACTTCCTGTTTAGGACTCGGCCTTTGGAAATAACAGACGGGGCCTCGTGAGATCGTAGTGTTTCTGTGCAGGTTCTGGGGAAACAGGGCAGTCGGAAAGATGCCTTTCATGCAAGCATCAGATTCCTAGCATGCATGTTAAAAAAAAAAAAAAAAAAAAAAAGCTGACCACGAAAAGCATATGTCTGTGACCCCAACACCTGCACAGGCAGACAGACAGGAGGGTGTCTGAGGCTCGATGGCCAGCTGTGTAATGAGACTAATGAGTCCCCGGTTCAGTGAGAGAGGGTGGCACAGGAAATTAACTGAAAAGCAATACAGGAAGACCCTTGATGTCAGCCTGGGACCTCCATGCACGTTTAGCCTGTGTATATGAACCTACAAACATACATGCTCCTGGAGAACGATTTTCATACTGACGAAACTTCAGTGTTCTTCACCCTGAAACCGAGGGGATTTTGCTTCTGGTGGGGACCCTGCCATCCAGTAACCACACAGGTGTGTGGTACGTTTGATAGTAATTACACGGATGTCTTAGGAGACCGTGGGCTCTCCGGCAGCCTCGCTTGCAGCCGCGGGCAGTGTGCGCAGCCAGAGAGCTTGGTGAGCATTGGAGCGGGAAGATGGTTGTGACACCCGCTGCATTCTAGTCAAGCATGTGAAAGCAGGGGGCTGGAGAGTACCTGTTAGCAAGAACTGAAGACAGGTGTGTAAATTAGGGCGCATGTAGACCTCGTTCCTGCCCTCCGAATCTCCTTTCCCCTGCAGTCACCGGAGCAGGCCCACACTCCTGAGTGTGTGTCTGCTGAGTCTCTGACAGACACCGTGTGGCCTCTAAGCCTTCCAGCAAGTGTCAGCCGCCCTGCTAGGTGCATTCTTGAAATACCTGAAGAGGGACTGGGTATTTGTCGCAGTGACCATGTCTCCTGTCTTTACAGCGGCCTTGGCATGAGTACGAACACAACTTCCAGATTATGTACAAAGTGGGAATGGGCCACAAGCCACCAATCCCTGAAAGGTTAAGTCCCGAAGGAAAGGATTTCCTCTCGCACTGCCTGGAAAGTGACCCAAAGATGAGATGGACAGCCAGCCAGCTCCTCGACCACGCCTTTGTCAAGGTTTGGCCAATTGCTGAAACTGCCCTCTTTGGGGTTAAGCACTTAAGTTTGGTTTTGCATCTGGCACCAGGAATTTGGAAACTTAAACACAAAATGCTGATACACCTAAAATCGACAAGAACTAAACGTCCTGAGATGGACAGTAACTAAATGTCTTACTGTGTCAGGTTTGGATCCTTTAGGACATTGGAAACACTTGAGACAGTTGGGTGGAATTTTAAAGAGACGAGCATAGAATGTGTGGTCAGCTAGGACCTGTCTTCGTGTTAAGAGCTGTGATGAAGATAAATGTGACTTGTAGGGTGAATGGGGATTTAGAAATGGAAACCTGGCATCTCTGACAGGGTGTGGCTAGGCAGGAAGGGCGGAGCCATTGAGGCTTCTCGAATGAGCTAGGAGGGAGCACAGAGATTGGAAATGGTAGAAGACGAGGCTGGAAAAGATGCAGGAGCAGCACAGGGCAGGGAGGGGGTGTTGTCTCAGTTAACGTAGACACAGCGGCTCACATCTCAGTTAACACAGACACACAGCGGCTCACATCTCAGTTAACACAGACACACAGCGGCTCACATCTCAGCTAACACAGACACACAGCGGCTCACATCTCAGTTAACACAGACACACAGCGGCTCACATCTCAGTTAACACAGACACACAGCGGCTCACATCTCAGTTAACACGGACACACAGCGGCTCACATCTCAGCTAACACAGACACACAGCTGCTCACATCTCAGTTAACACAGACACACAGAGGCTCACATCTCAGCTAACACAGACACACAGCGGCTCACATCTCAGCTAACACGGACACACAGCTGCTCACATCTCAGTTAACACAGACACACAGAGGCTCACATCTCAGTTAACACAGACACACAGCGGCTCACATCTCAGTTAACACAGACACACAGCGGCTCACATCTCAGTTAACACAGACACACAGCGGCTCACATCTCAGTTAACACAGACACACAGCGGCTCACATCTCAGTTAACACAGACACACAGCGGCTCACATCTCAGCTAACACAGACACAGCGGCTCACATCTCAATTAACACAGACACACAGCGGCTCACATCTCAGTTAACACAGACACACAGCGGCTCACATCTCAGCTAACACAGACACAGCGGCTCACATCTCAGTTAACACAGACACACAGCGGCTCACATCTCAGTTAACACAGACACACAGCGGCTCACATCTCAGTTAACACAGACACACAGCGGCTCACATCTCAGCTAACACAGACACACAGCGGCTCACATCTCAGCTAACACAGACACACAGCGGCTCACATCTCAGCTAACACAGACACACAGCGGCTCACATCTCAGCTAACACAGACACACAGCGGCTCACATCTCAGCTAACACAGACACACAGCGGCTCACATCTCAGCTAACACAGACACACAGCGGCTCACATCTCAGTTAACACAGACACACAGCGGCTCACATCTCAGCTAACACAGACACACAGCGGCTCACATCTCAGTTAACACAGACACACAGCGGCTCACATCTCAGTTAACACAGACACACAGCGGCTCACATCTCAGTTAACACAGACACACAGCGGCTCACATCTCAGTTAACACAGACACACAGCGGCTCACATCTCAGCTAACACAGACACAGCGGCTCACATCTCAGTTAACACAGACACACAGCGGTTCACATCTCAGTTAACACAGACACACAGCGGCTCACATCTCAGCTAACACAGACACACAGCGGCTCACATCTCAGCTAACACGGACACACAGCTGCTCACATCTCAGTTAACACAGACACACAGAGGCTCACATCTCAGCTAACACAGACACACAGCGGCTCACATCTCAGCTAACACAGACACAGCGGCTCACATCTCAGTTAACACAGACACACAGTGGCTCACATCTCAGTTAACACAGACACACAGCGGCTCACATCTCAGTTAACACAGACACACAGCGGCTCACATCTCAGCTAACACAGACACACAGCGGCTCACATCTCAGTTAACACAGACACACAGCGGCTCACATCTCAGCTAACACAGACACACAGCGGCTCACATCTCAGCTAACACAGACACACAGCGGCTCACATCTCAGCTAACGCAGACACACAGCGGCTCACATCTCAGCTAACGCAGACACACAGCGGCTCACATCTCAGCTAACACAGACACACAGCGGCTCACATCTCAGTTAACGCAGACACACAGCGGCTCACATCTCAGTTAACGCAGACACACAGCGGCTCACATCTCAGCTAACACAGACACACAGCGGCTCACATCTCAGCTAACGCAGACACACAGCGGCTCACATCTCAGCTAACGCAGACACACAGCGGCTCACATCTCAGCTAACACAGACACACAGCGGCTCACATCTCAGTTAACACAGACACACAGCGGCTCACATCTCAGCTAACACAGACACAGCGGCTCACATCTCAGCTAACACAGACACACAGCGGCTCACATCTCAGCTAACACAGACACAGCGGCTCACATCTCAATTAACACAGACACACAGCGGCTCACATCTCAGCTAACACAGACACACAGCGGCTCACATCTCAGTTAACACAGACACACAGCGGCTCACATCTCAGTTAACACAGACACACAGCGGCTCACATCTCAGTTAACACAGACACACAGCGGCTCACATCTCAGTTAACACAGACACACAGCGGCTCACATCTCAGTTAACACAGACACACAGCGGCTCACATCTCAGTTAACACAGACACACAGCGGCTCACATCTCAGCTAACACAGACACAGCGGCTCACATCTCAGTTAACACAGACACACAGCGGCTCACATCTCAGTTAACACAGACACACAGCGGCTCACATCTCAGTTAACACAGACACACAGCGGCTCACATCTCAGCTAACACGGACACACAGCTGCTCACATCTCAGTTAACACAGACACACAGAGGCTCACATCTCAGCTAACACAGACACACAGCGGCTCACATCTCAGCTAACACAGACACAGCGGCTCACATCTCAGTTAACACAGACACACAGCGGCTGTCGGCCCTTCAGACAAAGCACTTCAAGGAAGCCAGGCCACAGGCTGAGAATGGCTAGCAGAGTGTGGCCCTCAGCTCTGTTGAGGAGTTGGAGTGGTCCTGGTGAGGAGCAGATTACACATGAAGATGAGTTAGAGGTGTCTCGGTCGGCCCTACCTCCTGGCTCATTGAATCACGAAGGTTGCATCTACCACCGTAGAGGCCAAAGGACAGCGGGTTGAGGGGCAGTCTAGGCATTGACGGTCTCTTTGGTAAGGTCGGGGTTTGTCTGAAACATTTGCTTAGGGTTTTCGATGCTGCAGTACGGTGGGCTGTAGTAGAGGATGGGCGTGTGTTGCTGGGGAAGGGTGAGGAGTGTGGTGCCGGTGATGAGATCATACCGCTGAGCGGCGTGGCAGGACCCTGCGTGGAAGGCTGGAGGGTAGAGCGTGGGCTCCTGCACGTGGACTGGTAATGAAGGGGCAGGCATTTCTCAGTCCTACAATAGATGAAATACATTGACCTGGGATTCCACATTTGGAGAAGCTATCCTGTAGTTCGCTCTCAGGGAAGACATGCTGAACGTCTGTCTGTTTCCTAAGGCCTCCCTCACATGTCGGGGGCTGGTGCCAAGGGGGCTGCTGGGCTTGCCTGTGGAGCGGAGGCCAAGCATAGGCACATGGGTGTGCGCACGCGTGCGCACGGGCGCACACACACGCATACACATACACACGCACACGCACGCACACGCGCGCACACACGCACACGCGCACACACACGCACACGTGCTAGCTTGCACCAGCAGCGCCTCAGCTTTCTCTTGTCTCCTCACAGGTTTGCACAGATGAAGAGTGAAGCGAACAGTCCGTGACCTAGTAGTGTGTGGACAGAATCCCCGATCGCTACTGTATGTAATATTTACATGAAGTCTGCCCGGTGCAGTGCAGCCTCTTCACCCTCCGAGACTGAACCCTGCACAGGTGACAAGCCTGACTTCTGCTGCTCTGGTGTCTGCTGTAGCACAGGACCCTCCTGAGTGACAGTTGACGAGGTTAAAGACGCTGCATGTTAAGTGCCATTACTACTGTACATGGACCATCGCCTCTGTCTCCTCCGTTCCTCGCGTGACTGAGAACCGTGGCATCAGTGTAGTGTTTTTGAGCTTCTGGGGTTCAAAAGAAAATGTAGTGTTGTCAGGTGTCCCGGACCTTGTTTGGCTCTCCTGTTTGTTGAGTGCTCTGACTGTGAAACCTCCTTGTTGGCAAGCTGCAAGTTTGTTATGCCAAGGCTCGTAAGTGAAACTGAAGAAAAGGTTCTTTTCCAATAAATGGTTTATTTTAGGAAAGCTAAGTCAGCGTCTGTTACTGGCTCAAAGCTTAAGACCCAGCAGGACAGAGTGTGCGGGTCTGTCACTTGCCTCTGCTTGCTGTCAGAGACCGAGCCAGGTATGTCCCGCCGGTAGCCCGGGAGCTGTGCGCATCTCAGGATAGCTCTGAGTGGGGCTCGGTACATTTGAAGATGTCAGCACACCACAGTGTTTAAGATGGGTCACAGCTCACCTAGAGTCAGCTTGATGGCAAGTGACGGGCGTAGCGTAAGTGAAGGAACGCCAGTGATGAAGGTGGCCGTGCTTGGCTCTTAGAACAGTCATCGATCCATAGCAGAGACCCGGGAGGCTTGGGCCTTGTCCCATGCCGGAGCTCTGGTGTTACTGGATGTGTAGAAGCTGGGGCATTGGCACAGTGCTGCCTCGTCTCTTGATAGGCAGACGTCTTTTCAGAGCATAGCCTGGTTCTCAGCAGCTTCCACTCTCACTGACCGTATTGCTCTGTACCGTTTCTTATTGCTTGACCATAAAGCTCCCCCAAGCCTCTCTGTAGATCACAGCCTCTTCCTTACACACAGCAGACAACCACGGCTGGGCTAGCAAGTGTTCTTGCTCTGCTCTGCCCAGAGATGAGTTCCCGAGAATGGTGATTAGGATAAACAGATGTCAGGGCTGTACTTAGGTGCCCTTGCGTAGTCTTTTGAGTTACAGTTTACGCCCTTGCGTAGTCTTTTGAGTTACAGTTTACATTACGCACCAGTAGTTTTTATCATAGTCGCGGAGCTGTAGCGCTGTTTCATAATCTACTTCGAGAACGTTCCCACTTCTCACAGGAAAGACTGATGTCGTTTGTCGCTCCTGTGTTTGTGTAGCCATTAAGGCACTGCCCGTCTGTGTAATTTAGGGTCTTGCAATGTGACGGTCTCCGTCCCCGTCACGTGTTTTCCTAAGGTTGTCACAACGGAGCATGTGCCAACCCATCGCTTTCATTGGGAAGTCCGTTTGACTGTACATGGACGCCACCTGCTGTCTTTATCGGGGTAAGTGTTGATGGCAGTGGACTGCGCCCTGTCGGGATGTTGGCTTTGATCACACGGGTGCTTTCGTGGCTCTCGGGAGTTAGGGGTGCTGGACTGTGTGGTGAGTCTGTACTCACATTTTCTGACCCCTCTGAGCATTTCCCAAAGGCACTGTATCATTTCCTCCAGCAGCCGTGAGGCTTCTGGTGCCCATACCCTCCCTGCCGTCATGCTCGAGGACCTGTCTGGTGATGGTAAAGTGGGCTGCACTGTAGTGATGGTGACTTCTGATCACAGTGCCCGTTGTGGCCATTTATTACTTTGTGTGTGCATGTGTTTGCATCCGTGCATGTCCCAGCACATATGTGGTCAACAGAGGACAAGTCGCTGCACTGGGCTCATTCCCTTCTTCCATCATATGGGTCCCTGGGGTCCAAAAGGCTTGGCCGCAGGCTCCTCTACTCACTGAGCCATCTTGCTGGCCCCATTCTTATCCCCTTTTGAGGGAAATGCCTGTTCCCTCAAAGATAGTTTGCCAATTTTAGATTTAGGTTATCTTTCAGAGTTGCAAGTGTTTAATTTATTTTTTTTAAACACGTTCTTGAGTAAACCACTTCACCTAACCTGTGGTGTGATCTTTTATTTCCTTTGTAGTGTTGTTATGACAACCAAAAAGTTAATTTTTTTAGAAGCCTACTCACTGTCTTTTTCTTTATCGCTTCTGTCCACCACCTGGCCCAACAGTTCCTTTCCGCTCTTAAGTTAGGCCTCCCTCTCTTTCAGTATAAAATCATAGTCAAAGGTCCAGATGTGTGTCTTTGCTAAAGAGACTTCTTCCCCCTGTGGATGTCTTCTGCCACTGGAAATAGGTTTTAGTTCACATTCAGCTGTGCAACGTTGTACACGGGCGCAGACACAGTGGATTTTTGTGTCTGTCTCTTACCGTGTGGCCTCGCTGGCTTCGTTTGAAAGGCGCAGTAGCTGCGTTTGTAGACGTGTGCCCGGGAACAAGGGCAGTGCCTGTCTTTCTGGGGTAGAAGGTACTTTGCAGTGGAGTGTGGCTGTCCTGTGCACCCCTACATTCCTTGCTGATATTTTTGAGAGGACTTTTCCCTCTGTGTTTCAGGTGGTTTTGTTCTTAGTTTTCATCTCTGCGGATGCCTTTGGCTCCCTATCAGGGTGGTGTTGAAGTAGACATCTCTTCTTCTCAGAGATGGTGTGGGTTGTGTTTATTTTCATCTCTTGCGTCTTGGGTAGAACCCATTCAGAAAGCCTCTGGGGCTGGGCCTCTCTTTTCGTGGAGGGCTCTGTTTCTCCAAATCGATTTTGAAGTTTCCACTCAGCCTCACCAAGTTGTTGGATTTCTCCGCAGACGGTCGTTCACTACCTGCCCATCACACCCGGTGTGTGCATGGCTGTCCCCTGAACACACTCAGACCCATCTGTCTCTCTCTCTCTCTTTGCTGAAGGGCTGTCCGTCTTGTCAGTCACTCCTGGATTCGTTAGTGTTTTCTCCCGTTTTTCTGATTTCTGTTTCTTCTGTAGTGATCCCTATTGTTTCTTTCCTTCTGTGTGCTTTGGGTTTAATTTGCCTGTCTTCCAGAAGTTTGTAAGACTAGGAGATGGGCGAAGACAAACTGCTGGTAAAAATGACCTGCCAGGCTACTTTGGTTAGAAGTTTACATGCCAAGCATGAGTCTAAAGGAAACTTCCAAGTCAGAAAAATCACTTGTAACACAGGCACCGGGCTGTTTGAATGGCAGCGTCTGCCTGCTGGCATTAATATGGTAGGTGGCAGGTGTTGTCTGCAGAGGTCCATGGGGGCTGATGTTTGCTTTACAGGGCACGTGGGCTCGGTGGCAGCTCCTCAACTCTGCAGTGTGGCATAAGGACACCTACACATACCGTGCCACAGCGAGTGTGCAAATGGTGACTGTGTGGACGTGCACGACGCCTACACACGCGCCACAGCAAGTGTGTGGAGGTCAGAGCTGTACTTGGGAGAGCTAGTTCTCGCTTTCCTTCTACCACATGAGTGTCGAGGACTGACCTCATGTCCCTTGGCCGTAGGCATCTTTGCCTGCTCAGCGATCTGGCCAGCCCGTTTTCTCAGATTAGAATGTTCTGTAAGGATTAGTTTTATTTTAACCCGTCCATTGGAGGTGGGCCTCTTACTGCTGTCTCTTGACAATCTATCTTATTGCTGCCCAGCATTTTCCTCAGTAACAATAAGAAAAGATTGCTGTGGCACATTGCAGCCCCGTTACCGTGTCTTCTATGGAAAAGCCCAGCCCCTCCAGGTGTGTATTTCCTCCCCAGTCCTTTGCCTTAAAGATCATCCCACAGTGGGCCTCGGTGACCCCTGAGCCTGGGCAACCCATTGCTCACCCCCCATCCTGAGCTGAGCGCCTCACCCTGGTCCTCCCTTTTGGGTCTTTTCTCCTTGATAAGCGAGAGGCGGGCTCCTGCACCCGCCACACCTGTGCGAGCGTGTGGGGAGGCTGCACTGCCTGGGAGTGTGGGTCTCCTGGCTCTCTGAGCCCTCGGCCTGTCCAGCACAGTGCTCGGCAGGCTGCACCTCCCTTTATATTCACGTTGGGAGCCTTAGCTTTCCTTCCTCGTCACCTCTAAGCTCTTGCTTGGGTAGAACACCCCCTCGAACACCACCGGGGACTGCCAGTTGACAAATACCCGGCTAAAATCAGCTCTAGGGGCTCGCTCTACAAAGGACAGCAGCACATGTACAATTTGAGTCATTTTAGAAACCTGAAGGAATTCCTGCTTGAGCGGCCCTCACTGTATCTGCACCGCTTACCTCCTGAATATTGGACATAGCATAGATGCCAGAAATTTCAGAACTTGTCTACTGTGGCGTGTGGAGTGAGCCTGTCTTGAAGGTCTAACTGTAAGCCGTGCCCAATGAAAACCTTTGTCACACAGCCACAGCAGATGCTTCCGGACACTGGAAGATGACAGCGGGCGGGCTGGGAATCCTGCCTGGTAGTCAGCGCTCAGCCCGCGCTAACCGGAGCAGGGTTGCAGCAGGAGGAGCCTCGCTTGTTACGGTCCGTGCTCTGGAGAACACTTGGCATTGCACCAGGAACTCATTTATTTCAGCTTAGTCATGCTAAGCCACTTGCCTTCACACTTCAGGAAGGAGAATGCTGAGTTGACGGGAATTCTGTGGTTAAGTTTCTAAGCCTGTGGCCCTCTCTTCCTAGCTAGTGTTCAGAGGACCGCCTGACGAGGCTGTGGGCCCTTGAAGCTAACCCTGCCTCAGACAGACGGTCTCCTAAAGAGACTGTACTGTTTCGGTGACATGTCTGTGTTTGCTTGGCTCTTGACCACAATAATTTTGAACAGTTGGTTATCACGAAACAGGTACTCTGCCAGTTGGTGACTGATGCCATGAGCGGTATTGATGCCCTTGGGCCTTAAGGCTCTTGTTATGAGATGTCCGATGATAGATCACAGCCCCAAAGCATGGTTTGGCTTTCCTTTACATTTTAAATTAGGAACCACCTGAGCCAGAGCCGTGTGTGTATGCATGTGTGTGTAGGATTGTGAATGTGTGGGGTGGGAGGTGTGAGGGGGTGGGAGTGTGTTATGAGTGTGGTGTGGGTGTGTGTGTGCATATGCGTGTGCATGGTGCTGAAGATGTGATTTAGGCAGGGCTGGCCTGGGTGTATGCTGATGGAACCCTTACCCACCTGGTCGGTCTGACCGTGGAGAGCCAGAGGGACTGTTTCTACAAAGCTAGCATGACCCTTCTGCCCGCCCAGCATGCACTCTGAGACTCACTTTGGAACCTCGGTCATTATAATAGACAGGAAACTGTCCGCAATGAAGTCTGGGAAAGCACTTTTAGATGCTCCCTGTCTGACATCCTCAGACACCCCCTTGTTTATGTATGTGAGGAAGAAGCCAGACAAAAACTGCAAGCCATTGGCCGTCTCCGGTTCACACACGAGTGCTTGGACGAGGCGGAAAGAAAGCTCCGGCCTGAGCGGCCACAGGTTGTCACTGCTGAACACCCCTGCGCTCACAGCAGGTACCCTGGAAGGACCTTGCGGTGGCACTGGGTTCCCTTGGCAGTGGGCCCCGGGACGTTTTTGATGGAAGACTGTGGGTCCTGAAGTCGCACCTGGTAACAGCTCTCTCACACCGCTCAGTGTCTTCTCTGTGCACCGAGCCAGGCCTGGGCCTGAGGTGTGAAGAGAGTGAGCCAGCGCCAGCTCCTCAGTAAGCTCCACGTGTTCTCCATCTGCCTGACTTTGCTCCCCAGAAGCCGCACTCCACATTACTTGAGATCATGAACTTGCAGAGTGAGTTCCTCGATGCTCAGGGCAGAGAGAACCCGGGCATCTTCAGGCAGCCTCGGACACCAGGAGGCAGCAGCTGCAGCCCCACGTCTAACCCTTGTTCAGGCAGGTATGTGTAACATGCCCAGTGCTTTGGTGACGAAGGGACCATCCCAAAGAACCCAGCCGCCACCTCTGTCCACGCCTGTCATCTTTATGGACAAGCTTGGAAACCGCTCTGCTCTGCTCTGCTCTACCTGGGACCGGCCACACTGCTGTTGGCTGCCTGGGACCAGTTTGGGCTGGACTGTACCACTCTTTCAGACCCCAGTGAGCATCAAGATGGATGGGGATGTTGTACTGTTGCAAGGTTTTCACTTAGAAACTAAGCAGTCCAGATTACTCCAGGTCCGTCAGCGCATGGAAGAAGCCGGCTCTCTGAAAATGGCATGGACTCGAGGTGAGCCTCGGCTCTCCTGCCGCCACTGTGCAGAGACTCACAGAGCACCGCCATCCCCCTCACCTCAGGGGAACAGGGCCCGGAGCGCCTTCACGGAGGTCAAGTAGCTAAGGCTCAGGCTGCTCCCTTTTGTGTTCATCCTAGAACACCATCGCCCATTCAGCGTCCCTGAGATGTCTGGCCTGGCACCCAAGGCCAGGTAACAGAGGTGAGTTGTACCACTGTCCACCTCTTTCCCAGTACTCGGAGAAGTAGAGGCAGGCAGCCTTCCTTCCGTTCCTTCACCCAATTGGCCCAATGATCCCTTACAGCAGCGTAAGAACATCATTCCCATTTCACCAGTGGTCACGGGTTCAGGGAGGGCGGTGGGCTGGGTGGCCTGGATTGAATACTTGGCTTGGCCTAGCTGTGCAAGCACCAGAGCTCCTACCTAGCTCAGGTCCCAGCCAGAGAGGTCTTAGGGTCCTGCAGGGTTATTCACAAACAGCCTCAGCAACCCGGGGTCCCTTGTAGAGTAGCGTCCAGTCTCCTCTGTGCATCTCTGGGCCTCGGGCCCAGGCAGATATGCACTTAGGGAACTCCACCTCCAGACTCTCTGCTCCCCACAAAAGCCAGAATGCAGTGGTCTGGTTTCTGGAAACTCAGACGCATTTGTATCGACAATACATTGCTGGCTGTAGGCAGAAAGGGCTCTAGAACGCTGGTCACTCCTTGGCTCTTCAAGGTCAGTCATGTGGGTTGGATTTAGACACTCGGTGCACAAATGTCCATCTCCAGTAACTTTGGAGAAGATATGCCTTTGGTGGACGGTAAGGGCAGCTTCTCTAGTGGGGGTTTGTACCCCCCACACAGGGATAAGGGTGTCAGCCCAAGTGTCACTGACCCCTCCATCTAAGGCAGTGGTTCTCAACCTTCCTAAGGAACTGCCCCTTGAAAACAGTTCCTCATGTTGTGATGACACCAATCATAAAATTATTTTGGTCGCGCCTTCATAATTGTAAGGACCATTGGTTTTAGGTGACCCCTGAAGGGGTCGAGACCCACAGGTTGCAATCCACTGCTCTAAGAGGACACTGTGTATATAGTGTTACAACCGATCCCTTCTGGAGGGAGCATCACCCATCTGTCCTCTGTTGACTGCCCTCAGTCTGCGCACCCTTCTCCAAAGACAGCTGGATGGGGGATACAGGAGGGCCGACCAAAGCCCAGCGGGGTAAGCCGAGCCCTCAGGTTGAACTCCCCTGTGGGATGTGACTCCTTAGTAGGTACCCAACCACCCAAGCTGAAAAGGGGTATGGTATCATTTTGTAAACAACCCTGCCCTTGTCTCTAGGGCTTCCCAACTCCTGTGACTGTTTTTAGTATTTTCGTAACTTTTCACTTTCAAAATCGGCTTAAGTCCTTCAAGTCTATTGGGTGCCATTTCAGCAAGACTGGGAAACCAAAGCTGTCCTCCACCGACCCTTTCTGTGACTCAAAGAAGCCCAACACCTTCGTCTTCACACTGGATGGGGGTTTACACGGTACCCACATCTCTCACGGTAACATCCTGCACTGGCATACCATGGTGATCAATGCGGCTTGCCAACCTGACAGGATCTAGAATCGCCTAGGAGACGAGCCTCCGGTCGTGCCTGTGCAGGTAACCTCGAGTAAAACAACCGAGCTGGGCAGGCCCACCCTACCATGGGCTTCACTACTGCGTGGGTCGGGGGTCCCGAACTGAACAAGATAGTGAGTGAACGCCACGCCAGCGTTCATCTCTTCCACTTGGACGATGACTTCCAGCCGTGACAGACTGCACCCTTGGACTGTGAGTCAAAATGACCCTTCCTGGCATTGATGATGCTCAGTATGCTGGTAGCCGGACAGGTCATTTGGGGGAGGGGTGGGAGGGTCTCGAGGCCCTAGTGGAACACAGCTGGTGAATGGCTGCCTTCTAGAACATCCAGATTGAGGGCCGGGTTGGGGGGGGGCACACATTTGTGTAAACACAAGCCACGGACAACCCAGGCAGACACTTTAATTTTTTTCTTATTTGGAGGTGTAACTTAGTCATCCCTCGAAAGCACTGTTCACTCTGTCTCTGGCAATTGAGGGTTAGAGAAGACACAGCACCACAGGATGACAGGGACATCTTCCCTTCCCTGCAGCCACACAGACCCCATTGTCACAGGGCCACAAGTGTACACGCAACCAACCATTCTCCTCTCCCACCACGTACACACAAAAACATGTGTGCAATTGAAAAGAACGATAACCAAACGCAATAATTCACACAGGGGAAAAGGGTTAAGAATGCCTTCCTTTCCCGTCCAGCGCTGAGACAAACTCTGTGAATGGAGAGGCTGTGGTTTCTGCTCATTCCAGAAAAGCTCCCCAGTCTCCGTCACTGAACCCTAAGAAGACTAGGCAGAGGCCAGCAGTTCCCCAAGGTTCCCTTTGGAGGGGGACATTCCCAGGTCAGTCTGTGTGTTTCTGTTTGCTGTCCGTATTCCCGTAGGCAGAGCCCTTGTCAATTTCTGTCACACCAATCATCCATCGAACTCCCATGGAGGCTGCAGAGACAGGAAAAAGCAGTTACGCCTCGGAACGCCCTCCAGGGGCGCCTTGCCAACAGTAGGCCATTGGCTGAAAACTGCAAGCAAACCTGGGGTCCCCTCTGACCCCAGCTGCTGGGCATTCCTCTGCGCACCGGAAGGACATCGGCAGGGCCGCTCTGGGGCAGGTGGGGTGCCATCCTTGCACAGTGCAGGTAAACTGAATTGGGCAGGCAGCAGCTTTGGGAGGAGCCCTGCATACCTCAAACCACCACTGTTTGGGCTCAGACTGGGGCAGAAGCCCTGTCCCAATTCTGGTGAAGTGACGACATCGAGGAAATGGTAAGAGATGTGAACTATGGTGTCACGCAGGGCACATTCCTCACAGCACCCAGGCCTGAGTGCTCGGGGCACGGGTGGAACTGACTTTCTCCTTTGCCCACAAGCCCTGGCCAGCCTCCCTTCCCCTCCGCGCACCCTGGAGTGTTCAGAAGATGCCTTCATGCTTGACAGATGGCTGCCAGCCCGGGGGCTCTGTACTCACCCATACAGAAGATGAGGACCAAGCTCGCCAGGGTCACTGATGAGCCGCTGCTCACCATGCTAATGAGGAACTGGAAGAGAGGATAGAGCAGCAGCGACGCCCAGAACAACCAGTTCAGCAGAGCCCAGGGCCGCCGTGGGGGAACCCAGGGTGTCTCCGGGAAGACCCCTGTCCTGTAGTACTCCTCCTGAAAGGCATCCTGTGGGACAGAGAAACAGCCTCACACACCATGTTGGGTTCCAGGTGAAACGAAAACTTCTGTGGTCAGCCGCTGGGGAGTTTCAACGTGGCCTAGAGCCCCCCTCTACTGTCACAGCTACAGGCTGTCCTGTGTGGGAGGGAGGAGTCTCAGTCAGGCTCACCATATCCAAGGCACTGAGGAAACCCAGCAGGACAGTGGTGACAGGTTGACGAGAACAGAATTGAAGGTCCTCGAGCGCCACCCCCACCCCCACGGATCTACTCCCCAGCTGGCCCCATCGCCCACCTTCCCATCCCAGCAGCCTCTCTGCAGAGCCTGGGTGGCAAAGGCTGGCGCTCCCAAAGGTGCTGCTCACAGGAGGAGCCTGTGAACGCCAAGGCCCTCCTCACAGGAAGCACAAGCTGGACCAGAGACCGCTCAGGAGCAGCCAAGACCACATCTGTCACTAAAGTGAACTCTTCCGTAAGGAAGTGGGCCCGGGCGACAGGCATGAAAAGTAAGCCAGGGACGCTGGACCGCTGTGATGCACGTCACCTTGTCAACTGCCGTGTGCCGTTAAAGCTTGCTGAAAGGGGACCCTGAGCTCTCACTAAGCTCATTCATCTCAAGTGCCTTCCGTAAAGCCGTATCAGGGAAAATGGAAAACAGCTAAGAGGGTTTAAAGCGCTGAGCCCTCGCGAACAGTCGAAAGGTGTACCGACCGTTTCCCGTAGAGGTTCCAGTCGTTTGCCCTGGTTTAAATGCCTGCATGGAACAGGGAGTCAGGGTTCATCCACGGACAGAGCTCAGCTGGGAACTCGAGCGTGACTGTTGTCCGTGTGGTTTCTCCTGGATGCTCTAAGTCCCTGACTGACGGGGATGTCTGCTGTCTGTCCATCTACCGCTTGCTGTTTGTCCCCTCCAAAGCTCCGCTATTGTCGCTTATTCCCTGGTCCACTACACCCACACCGTACTTTCACTTTCCGTGAGGCCACCTGACAGTGTATTCTGCTACGTTCTTTTATTGCTTAACATGCGGATCGTTAGGGGAGCCAACAAGTGGCCACCCATCAAAGCGGCGCTTCCCACCCGAAGCCCCCCGGCTGCACCCACCTTCTCCTGGTAGAGCTTGTGTAGCCAGGCCGAGCACTTGTCCTCATCCTCTGGGATATCCTCCATAGGGATCCTCCTGTCAAAGCAGAGAACAGCTAGCAAGGAGAGCCACACTGAGCACCCAGCCCACATTCCCGATGACAGTTCTGGCCGTGCAGGGAGAAGAGGGTGGTGAGAATTAATTGGTGACTATTGGGAGGAAGTATGTCACTGTGGGGGTAGGCTCTGAGGTCTCCTATGCCATGGTGTCCTCACAGCAACAGAACTCCTAACTAAGACAGGTGGAAATCCCAAAATTGCAGCCATGGCCAAACAGTCAAGCAAGGGTCAAGCCAATGACACAGAGATGGTGTTGGGAGTGGGGGACCTGCCCTGTCCATCTTTGACCTCCCCAAACCTGACTGATGCACTGCCTCATTTGCTCTGTGATACAACCCAACAGGTGCAGAACCCAGGCAGACGGCCAAGGACCGACAGGAAGGGCAATGGAGCATCACACAGTGGCTCCTTTGGTCCCCACTGAGGTCCAGCCACACTAAGGCAGATGCTGGAGGCTCAGGCGTCCCTGGCATGTGAGAAGGTAGGGCATCTGGGTAAGTTACTCTGCCCCCGAGCGGCTCCTCATTTCCTGGGTAGTTCTCAGGCCGGGACTAGCAAGGGTGGAGGAGTGGCTTATCTGTTAACAATTAACATCGAGAAGTAACTTTCGGGTTTCCTGCTGTCCGTGCTCTGAGAGTACTGGCCCTTGAAAGTTCAAGGGGGTGTGTGTGTGTGGGTGTGTGTGTGGGTGTGTGTGTGCGCGTGCGCGTGTTCCGTGGGAAAGTGTAGTTGTCACAATGTTCCACGGGGAAACTTCATAACCCAGTGTGCCCAGAAATATCACAGGGAGGAGAGGTGTCAAAGATTAACCCAGCTTCAGAGGAGAAACTGCGATTTCATCTTCTCTATGGCCGGCTGCCACTGTTAGGCTGGCCACCATAGGCTCTGTGGTGGGGCAGTGTTCTCCATGGGCAAATTCACCCTGTTGTTGAAATCCCTACAAGCTCCTCTGAAAACTCATCACTTGTCACTCTCGGTGAGGTCTAAGGGCAGCATTTAGTGACTTAGTACTTAGGGGAAAGCTCTCCCTCGTCCCAGAAGGGAGCAGGGCCAACTTACCTAACGTAGCAATCAGCATGGTATTTCTTTCCATTTAAGACTCCCAGCAGCGTTGGGTTTTCATTGTTTCTGAAATTGAGTGTACAGTCATATACAGCTGGGACTACAAGACAAGACAAACACAAGGCAGCATAGAGCAGGTGAGGCCGGTTCTGCTTGGCAGTCACACACGCTGGAAGACACGCGCACACCGTAACCCAGCTGCCCACTGTAAGCTAGCCATCACAGTAACTCCTGTGGTCAAGTGGGCTCTCAGGCAGTGGTGCCTACCAGAGCCAGGTCGGCTGTGACATTAGTAAGCGACTTTCTAGTAGGCAGAGCCTACTGTGGCTAGCCAGTGTGGATATTTGGACAAGTATGGGCAGAAGATGAATTCGACTCATCTAAGTACATGTTTGTTAGAGAAGTCTGCCCATCAGGCCAGAAGAGGGCGTCAGACCCCTTGTTGGTGGAGTTATAGGCAGTTGTGAGCCACTAGAGGGCAGCGATGGGAACCGAGTTCCAGTTACTGCAAGCACAGTAAGTGCTCTGCTGAGCCATCTCTCCAGTCCCCGTGTAACCCTTTTTATGAACATACATAAACAACCCTTATGTGCATCCTCGCCCCCCAATGAAGCAGCCACAAAGCCAGGATATGACGTCTCCATCCCGGAACATAAAGTTCTAGGAAGGCCCACCCACCTCCATGGTGTCAAGCAAGTCCTGCCCAGCCCAAGTATGGCATCATGCCTCTTCCCGAGCCCAAGGGCCAGCGAGTAGAGATGCGAGAGAAGGCCGTTAGGTGGGAGAACAAGAAAACGGGTTTTACATTGAAGGTGAGGGTTTAAAAGGGAACCGGAAGAGTCATAGCCGGATGCCAGGGGCAAGTTACCACTGTTTCCTTCTGTTTTTAATCTCAAGACTCACGGGTCAGATCATCTGCAGGTGGTGGGTAGCAATAGACAAGCAGAGAAAGTCTCAAAGACCCTGCAGGGGTCCTGGGACCCAGCACTCCCTGCATGCAGTGATGCCACTGGCCAGCAGGGGGAGGCACTCACTGGGATGCAGAAGTAAAAGGGGTCCAGCCAGACTTGCACCCGCCCTTTCTCCTAGGTCCCACCTAACCTCAGAGACCCGCGCCTTGCCACGATCCTTACCTACATCTCGCAAGCACTTAACGGTGATAGCAAAGCCCTTGGTGCGAGGCAGCAGGTGGTGCTTGAGGCTGGGCAGCCCCTTGGCCTGGGCCACCTGCATGCTGATTTGGTGTTTCTTCTCTGTGAACCGCGTGCCCTCACAGTGAATCAGGAACTGGAAAGCAAAGGATACGGTCATACAAACCCTAGGTCAACCGGAGGCCACCATTCCACAGAGCTGGAACCCACAGAGCTGGAACCTTGAACCCAGGTCAGTTCTGAAGTCTTACGCTTCACGTTACGCGGTCCCAGGGACACACTGCTCCTGTGCCTACTACGTACCAGATAGTTCTCTGGGTAGTCCCGGAGGTGCAGCAGGCTCTTGGCGACCGTCTGCCGATCCTGCTCCCACTTGCGCGTGCAGAAGATCATTTCCACAAAGTACCACATCCAGCCAATGATTGGGACATAAGCCAGCTCTTTCTTGGCCAGGACTTTAGAGTTCTGAAACAGAGGAAGGACGTCAGGGTTGTCTGTGGAGGAGACAGGTTACTTGGTGGCTGTTGGGGACCTTAGGGGTGAGGAGGGACCAGTTACACCAGAGGCTGCAACGCAAAGCCTTGCTGACTTTTGGGGAAGCGTGGGGTATCCAAACTCAGGTCCTCATGCTTGCCTGGCAAGCACTTCACCCACTCAGCCCCCCCCCACACACCTTCCTTCAGTTTGGAACTGACTGAGGAGTTCCCTGCCTTCTGAGGTGATGCCCCAGTTGGCATCGTGGACAGCTGAAGCAGCTGTCTACCCCGGTCCCAAGCCTTGGCTGCCTGGAAGAGAGTAGATGCTTCCCACCCGGTCCCCTCTTCTCGTCAGCATCTCTACGCTACTTTGTGACCCTTAGGCTCCATCTACAGCCAGCTGTTCTTCTTCAGCCAGCTGTTCTTAGCACAGAGCGACCTTAAGAGTCTCAGAAGGGCAACAAACAGCTGACGTGATCCTACTCCCGTGCCTGTCCCCCTGGGAGCCCATTGTCCTGTGTCCACACTAGACTTCAGACCACGGAGTTCTAGCTCCTGTCTGTGACCGGGAGGGACATTGCCATTGTTTCTGTCACCTCTCAACTTAAGATTTCTGTAATGAAAGCTGACAGAGCCAAACTAATGTTCCACTGATCTTGCTGGAAGTTAAAAATAGTTTTAAGATCCTGTGTACTGTACCTTACGAAACTTACATGTGGCAGCACTCAGCAATTACAGGACGACCCGCAGTGCCACCTACCCACAGAGCTGCTACTGGCTCTATCGCCGCAGCTGCCGGGCTGCCTGCGTGGTCAGTGTCACTCAGCCAGTCATGGCTGCTCCCCCCAGGTGCACTTGCTACTCCTGGTTCCCCTAAGAGACTCAAGTGTGGGCTAGCCTTTGGTAAATGATGGAGAAGGCTGCCCTGGTGGGTTGTGGGATCTAGGGGTTCAGCTAGAGGAGGTGACTCAAGGGTCTGTATTCCCATCACTGTCTTACATCACCAAGAGCCACCTTACGGTCCCACAGCAAAAAGCACTGACTATAGTCTACACATCAGACAATGGTGTAGAAGTGTCAGCAAGCTGAGAGCCTCTTCTCTGCTGCCCCCTGGTGTCAGCGCAGGGTTATTGCCACAAGAGCTAGCATTCACCCGAGCACAGCTGCTACCATAGAGACGATGCAGTCCACAGAGCTAAAAATGCTCATTCTGGCTGGCCAATTAAAATCAGATGGGTCAACCCTTAATGTACAGCAAACCATATAAAATTCTCCCGTTAGGAAGTGGATAGATGAGATTTGGGGGTGTGATATGGTACCTCTTTCACAAGCTAAGTCATTTATGACTGGGAACAATTATGTAGACATGTCTACGTAGGGTAACCCACAACCACCAGGTGCTAGGTGCTGAAGTGTCTACCTTGGCCAATTATTAGGCCACACCCCATCGTACAACCAAAAGTTTCCAGAGATTTTTCTGGTGGCGGAAGGAGAGGGGTAAGTGAAAGTTAAGGGTGTTACTGCCTCATAAGGGACGGGCATTATCACTACCATGGGTGTCCCACCCAGCCAGGGAGGACACCCAGGATCTCTCAGAGCCAGAAGTTAGCATCTCCCAACTAAGGCGGCACAGCATATGCCTAGATGGCCGTAGACAAAGCTGTTTTAAGGAGCACAGGGACTCGGATTTGGTGGCTTTTAACTCCCAAGACTTCAAACGAGATCCCTTTCTAGGTCCAAGACAACGGCCTACCCAGTGGAAGATGCAGCCGGACTGCCTGGCCCGCAGGTTAGCACTGTCCCCTGTGTGCAGAGGGGCTGCCCTCCTGTGAGAGCCGTGCACATGCAAGCTCTGATGAGTCGGAGACGACAGCAGTGTCCAGGATGCTGACCTGGGTGAGAGTATAGTGGGTACCACAGTGCAATACTATTACAGTACGTCTCGTTTACTGTGCTAGCCCTGCTCTGGCTCTGCACGGGAGACTTTCCTACCAGAAAGTCCCCAGAGAGTCTCCAAACAAAACCACCCTGTTACACGGTTAGTCACAGCCACAGGGGAAATGCACAGGCCAGAGTCGAAACGGAAGCACTCTAAGGATTCTTTCTTTCTCTTTCTCTCCTCTCTCTTCCCTCCCCCTCCCCCCCCCCCTCTCTCTCTCTCTCTCTCTCTCTCTCTCTCTCTCTCTCTCCCCCTCCTTCCCTCTCTCTCTCTCCCTCCCTCTTCTGCCAGGCTCTCTTCTGAGAAGATGAAAGGACTTCCTGCACTTCCCAACTTCCCACTCCCACTGCCCTAATCACCCCACCCTCTTAACTGCTTTTGAAAGGCAGGATGCTTCCAGAGCATCTGGGAAGATAATAAGCAGGAGGGGTTATGTAGAGCGGGGTAGGGTGGAGTGCAGAGCAGGGGCAGACATACACAGGCAGGAGATAATGGGCCTTGTTGTGGCAGGTGTGCAGGAACAGATGGGTGTGGGGGTGATTAGAGCTGTCTGCAGAAGAGGGAGGGGCTGTGGCCAGCCCTGTCAGGCAGGCTAGTCTCTGCTCGCTTCATTACTGGCAACAGGCAAACTTAACAGGCTTGCCGGACAGAGCGGCCCTGGCAGAGCTAGCTCAGGACTGCACCTGAGGGCTGGCTCAGGAGTGCTTTCAAGCAGGCAGAGCCTCTGTGAGCCGCCTGGGACCTCTCTCCACCCAGAATCACTTGGGCACCTTGTAGGTACCATTTACTTGGATTCCGTATCTGTGTAACACCAGGCTTCACCCCACCCCACGACTCCTGGCTCAGTGAATGAACAAACGGTCAGCGCCTAAAGTGGCACATCTGTCCACTCTGCCTGCCAAAATCTGCAGTTGGCGTGCCAATTAACATTGGCTGAGAGGGAGGAAATTAATTACTAGGACCCATTTTCAATACCAGGTGCTCTCAGAGCCCTTGAGAGAGCCAGAGATTAAGCAGAAGGTGCTAGGTCCCTCTCCGTCCCTCTCCCCTATCCGGTAGCTGGTGGGCAGTCTGGGAGCTGGGAAGTTGCAGGCTGCTTCCATCAGAGGAGGAGACAGTCTCGAGCCCCGGGATGGTCATTTCCTGAACCGATACAGTAGGGCATAGATCTGTCTCAGGAGCTCCAGCCTGTGGGACAGAGGCTGGTTTGGACGCTCACTCCACACCATCTCTCTAGTAGACTCAACACAGCGTCACTAACATCCAGACCCAGGTCATCCCAGGATGACTTGAGTGCTGGCGGTGGGGTGGGGGAGGGACCTAATACACACTGAGCTCTGCTATAGTGGGGAAAGAAACCACAGGCGTCACAGCCAGGCTGCCGCGGTCCCTGGACACCCTGACACGTGCATACTATCTGCAATTTCTCCTCCAGCACCCACTCTCTTGGGGTCCCTCGTGTCTTCCTTCACCTCGACCTCTTGTCCCCTCCTAGAGTCATAATCGCCTTCCCTCTGAAAGTTCCCAAATTCTAGGCTGCGTAAAACAGGTTAGTTTATCCCCACAGGTGTGTGAAGGAGCTGCCACTCTAGCCATCACACAAAGGGTTAACGGCCACAGCCCAGAACTAAGGGAGGAAGTGGCTCGGAGGCCCCACCCCTACCCAGAAGCAGCTGATCCCTGCTGAAAAGGGGGTATCAGGCACCCACACTCCAGGGCAGGCCCTGTGCCCCAGAGTAGCTGACCAACACAAAATGGACTTTAGGTTGGTTGGCTTTGGTGGACTTTTCGTTTCATTTTGTTGTTTGTCTTGCTGGTTCTTTGATTCTTCGTGTGTGTGTGTGTGTGTGTGTGTGTGTGTGTGTGTGTGTGTGTGTGAGAGAGAGAGAGAGAGAGAGAGAGAGAGAGAGAGTATAAAGTTGGATGGATAGGTGGGGAGGAGTTTGGAGAGGGGAAAACATCAAAATACATTATATGAAAAAAATTCAATACATTTTTTTAAGAAAGTAAAGAAGTAACAAGCTGGGCTGTGGTAGCTCCTGTCTCTCTAATCCCAGCACTTTTGAAGGCAGGCAAGATCTCTGTGCGTTTATGGCCAAGCCTGGACTGCAGGTGGGGTTCTAGGATGGTCTACACAGAGAAACCTAGGGAGGGAGGGAGGGAGGGAGGAAGGATTCTTCTTCTCTGCGCAGAGAAACTAACAGATTCTAACCTCTTTCCAGGCCACGCTGCCCTGCACCACCTGACAGATACTTACAGAGAGGGTCTCAGACAACACGTCAGGCTGTGGTAGGTGTCCTCTGGGATGGTCCCACCCCCGAGAGGTTTCCCTGGGTGGGGGCTGGGCTCCAAGTTTCTGCCCTGGGCACTTGCTTCTGCTCTCTGTGGCATTGCATGCCCTTGGAAAAGGGGCTACCCAGTCCAGGGGAACCCTCCAACAGGCCCGTGTGTAGGGTTGAGGCATGGACAATAAGCCCGTGACCAAGCTTGGAGGATAGCCAGTACATGACAGACTTTCAGATGAGACCATCACTCTTGCAATCACGCGACCACAGCCCCGTTGGCTCTCTCCCGGAAGCCCAGCTGCCTGGTGCCTGACTTCCCAACAATGCTGGCAGTCTCTAGTCTGCGGGCCTGCGCTTTACCTTGCTCACTTTGGAGACCACACGCTGCCACAGATGACTAAGACACATAGCTTCATTAGAGATGTGAAGCGAGCTCTCCCAGCTGGCCTCAGAGTTAGCCAGCATGCCACCGCCTGGGGGGGGGGGGCGGGGCAGATGAGCTCTGCTGACACCAGCAGGGGTGTGTGTCATTAATGTAGTTCTAAGTCTGGCACTGTCCAGGGCCTGTACAATCGTGACCTTGACATGTTCGTTCTTCCCCGAGGCAGAGAGACAGCAAATGGGATGGAAGAAGCCTTAGGTTCGCCGAATGGTGGCACACTCCCTAGCTATCCCCAGGTCACACCTGGTCCCAAGAGGAGAAGGTCAGTGTGTGTCTGAGAGACCTCATCATGCATGGCCTTTGAGGCCTGACCCCATCCAGCAATGACAGCCCAGCCTTAGGGGAACCTGAGCTTCCAGGGTGGGCTCGGCGCTGGCCTGGCCTTGGCCAGCCAGATGGGAGCTCAGTGTTCTCAGAAGTCAAACCTGTTTCTAAAGAAAATCCTATCACTTGCCTTCATATCCACTGTCAACATTCCTGGAAATTCCATTTATTTTAAACTCATCCCTCTTAGGCTATTCCGGATGGATTTTTAAGATGCCAGTTGGGCTTGATGTTATGTGCCTGTATCAATCTATCACCTCCCTCTTAAAGTAAGCACCCTCCTCAAAGATTCTCCATACCATGTTCTACAAAGAGAAGCAGAAAGATGGATATGGTGGTGGTGTTTAAAGGTCATTGAAGACAAAGGGTCTGGAGGGTCAATCCGTTTACCCAGATGCTTTCCCCCTGCCCTTTCAAAGCAGTGGGAATCACCGGTCGCTCTGGGGCGAGGACAGGCACCTCAGCCAGCATTTCAGAGGCTACAGGACCTCCGAGGGACAGCACAGTCACCTCAGCTCACAGCAGGACACGGTCCCTCAGCAGCTACCTGTGAAAGTAGCCACCCCCATCTTTCCTCTTCCTCCCCCCCCCCCAATCTTCTTCCTCCTCTTCCCCCAAAGCCTTGCAGTCCATACAGCAACAGCACTGGCTGCTTCTCTGGTGACTGAAGAAAACTAGCAAGTGATTCACCTTTGCTCAGTTCTTTGGGGACGCTAGAACTGGGGGCACTGCAGGGTACAAGTGCCTCCCAGATTGCAGAACATGATATTACACTGCACGCATGTGCGTGCATGTACATGCACACACATGCATACACACACACACACATACTCATGCTCGCGTGCCCTAAGCAGGCCACCTGCCTATCTGCGGGCCACCATTACAAATGCAAAACTTCACGTCTGAGACCTCATGGAAACTTCTGGGGCCCTTCCCACCCTGGGGACAAAGCACGTTTGTTTCCATTGCAATCTCTGAAGGCCGTTGGTGACTTTGAGTCATTGATGTGGTACAGGCTCAAGCATGACATGCCACTGCGTGGGAAAGATGACAAGAGCCAACCCGAGACACCCGGTAAGAGCAAAGAAGCTAGCTGCACACAAGACATCAAACTAATTTGAGGGAAACAGAATTTAGGAGGAAATCCAAATTCTGCCATCGGAACTTTGCCACTTAGAGACTCAACATTCTTAAGCCTGGAGCGATTTAAAATAGGGTGAATTCCGCCTGTGAGCTGAGCAACTAAGAATAGGAATAGGAGCCGAACTAGACATGCTCCAGTCCAAATCCAATTACAGCTGGGTGGCCCCGAGCAGCCGACAGAAGCTCTTTCTCAGTGAGGTGTAAGGATTAAAAAATAAATTAATTCACAGTACAACTTATTTGGCGTGTGGTGCATTTGGGTCGGGTCTGCTATTGCTCATGCACCCTGAGTCTAAGGAAGAATCAGCAGCATCATGATGGTCAATACTGTCGAGCTGGCGGGTTCTAGACTCACCACCGTGAGACTCGCTTCCAGGCACACCTGTGTGTCACTGCCTACGTTAGATGAACTGAGGTGGAATGAGATCAGACAAGTGGATCTGTGGGTAGCACTGTTCCACGGGCCGGGGGCGGGGGGGGGGGGGGGGATGGATTAGAGGGAAAAGCCTTCACCTTTCTGCTTCCTGACTGCAGAGGAAATGCAACTGACCAGCTGCCCTCTCCACCACAATGGCTGACGCCTTTACACTGGACCTTTACCTTCTCAGGTTGCTCCTGTCTGGCATTTTGTCAGAGCAGGGAGAAAAGTAATCAAGCAGCTTTTGAGAGCAGTTTATACTATAAAAACCTATCACAATCACAATAAAACAAACGAGAAAAACACCTTGTCAAAGCGAGCCTTGGTAGCTCATACCTCTAATCCCTTGTCTCTGAGAGGCTGAGGACAGATTCTAGAACAGCCTGGGCTCCATAGCAAGGTCCTATGTGGCATCTGCCCCCTCCATAAAAGCAGCAACAAATCTGACTCAGAGAACAGCATGAAGGCACAGCCTACTTACCCCCAGGATCCCGAGGCGCTCAGCCAGGCTCCAGCCACAGAGAAAGTCAATCTCAAACTTATGGTTGAGAACGACGATGGCATTTTCCTTCCCGTAGTGGAGGGAGGACCTTGGGTCAGTGTAGACGGTGCACTCCGTACCTGACCACCACTCCAGAAGCATCACCAATTCTGCAACAAACCACAAAGACACACACATTTACTTCACCGTCCTGGGGTCCGCTTTCCTCGGCGTGCTATAACATAAAGCTGCTTCTAAGGCTAAAGTTGCAGAGCTTTTTAGCCAGGACTCCAGATGTTGAAAGGGTTTCAAAGCAGAAGGGTTATAAATAAGCAAGGCCTTACAACAGTCTTCAGGGAAGGAGAGGAAACCTCTGGGTAGCCTTTATATCTCTTAGCGGAGGGAGGAACTTAGAAATAGTATCAGGTCTGGATCCACCCACATCCATGTCCTTGTACTGACAGCATGAGACGAAGTATATTCTAGAAAACGACTAGATGATATGCTTCTAAACACTGTCAAAGGACACTGTGGACCCAGCTCCTCCTCTCCCCCTCGTGGCACCTGATGGCATCAAGAATGCCCAGCAACCACGGGAGAGGAAAGAACAAGTCTCCATTTCAGTGACCCAGAGTCGCTGTGCTGTAGGCTTCAACTGAAGTTTTACCATATTCTTTGCAGGGGCTTGTGAGAATTAAGACTCGTTTCTAGGCGGCCAGTTTTCTGAGGCCGGTGGTCTCAGGAAAAGACCGTGTGGTGGGAATGGACAATGGGGATGAAGTGGACCTTCAGAGTGGACGGTTTTGGCATCTGTGTGTGTGCTGTGTGAGTCCTCCATGGAGGCTGCATCCTTCTTTATACTGCTTAGTGGGGAACACATTGTGTAGAGGGCTCCCACACTCTACACGTTCACAAAGACAAGTGGATCTGACCTTGACTGCCTTGGAGACACCTTTCTCTTCCAGACTGGAGGCTGAATAAAGAGCACTAGAACCATCTAGAAGGCCACACAGTTTGGTTTCTAAGCAATGACCCTGTGGGCTTTCCATAAATAACCCCATGGTTTGGTCGTTTCTTTATGTCTTTGTCTTTGGGGAGTGGGTGCCTCAGGGCGTCCTGTAAAAATTGCTGGTAGTCAGGACCACTGTGGCGAGGCCACCCGGGAAGTGTCAGAGGCTGCCAGGTAAAGAGAATGTCACCGATCCTGCTCACTGCCATGCTGAACCTTTGATCATTGCCAAAGGCATGCTCCTGTGCCCTGAGGCCAAGTCACTGGGTGGGGACCTGCTGTCCTCAAGTCCAGTAAACAGAAACTATACAAGCATCTGTTGTCACCATAGGTCATCCCCGTGGGCAAACTACTAAAATGTCCAAGACATTTCTCCCCTGCTCAGTTTGTGAGGCTAGCATTTCAAATGACACCAACAGCTACCAAGTCCCCTTGACTATTGATAGTCAGTCTCCCTGGGCCTTTGTCCTATTTAAAGGCAGGGCAAAAGCCTGACTCTAACTAGACCTGGGAGCCATCTGACACAAGTCATGAGCTTGTGGGTAGGACAGAGTCCTACATTGTGGGTGAGGCTTACGGTTCCATCATAGCCAGTTAGTCTGTCCTGGAAATAGGAGTCAGGCATGGGACAATGTCAGGTGGGTCACACACAGGTAAGAGGCCATCCTAGCTCATCTTCAGACCCTCAGGACCGACTCTTATGAGGCCTACTGGCTAGACACTTTGTGTGAGTCATCCACTGTCCTGCCAATAAGTCCCATTTGAGGAGAGAATTTCTTGATACTTCCAGCACTTAGAAACTGCCTTTGCTGGAACACACTGTCTCGTGAGGCAACTAAGAGCAGGATAAAAGCCTGGCACCAGTGCCTCCATTCTGTATCTGTCTGCCTAGTCCTAAACCATGGGGACAGAGCTGCCTAACTGTGCAGGTAGGCCCGCCCATCACTGAAGGGTATCTGTGTAAATGCACTAGGACGTCAGCTTTAAGGGATAGATAAGACTGCCATGTCACTATCAGCGTCCACCACGTCCTGCCCAGCACCCACTCCCAGAGGGCCTGAAAGCCATCTGTAGCCAGAGTCTAACCCTGCAGCCACTTTGGAGTCCAGGAGCATAGAGCCTTATAGATGACCCCCTGACCCCAAGCAGGAGCCCCCGTTTAATGGGAGTGAGACTGTCCCATGCAATGGGGTCTCCCTCTTCAGGTCCACCTTGCAGAACCACCTGCGATGCTGAGCCAAGACCACAGCTTGATGGAGGGTCCTTAATCATGCAGACCTCAGGCTCCCAGTCCTCCCTCTTCCTATTTAATCCCTACAGCTCATGCCGGTACCCAAGATGGGCTGAAATGATGGTGACAAGCCTTTGTCACCCTTCAACACCATTTCATGTTTCTTTCTCTGAGACAACACTAAACTTGAGATGGTGGGGCTCTTCTGTTGTCCACGAAGGAACCTGGGTTCCACGTCCTTCATTCCTCCTCTTGGATACTGTCTTTCCCTGTCTAACAACCGTCTGGATTCTGTGGCCTGAATCACCCCATCACAGCATCACTGCTCTATGCTCTGCAGCAGCCCCATGGATGATGTCACCAAAGCTGCAGCCTGGCGGTGGCTATCGAGAGCCCCCAGGCAGCCTGAGCACCACCGGCCACAAGCACAGGCTTTGAAGGGGGCTGAAGCATCCGGACACACGTTTAGCCCAGCCAGCCACCTCTAACAGAACCTCCATCCTCAGCTGCTCTCACACATGACTAGAAGCAAAGCACAGGCCTTGGTTTGCGGCCCCTACCTCTCTCTGCAAGGCACGTTATCTGCAGAGAGAGGGATGGGAAAGCATTCGGGGCCTCTTGGCAGCCAGTAGCAATTGTCAATTTTGTCCCTGGAACAGAGGAGTGACAGCTGTCCCTTCTCAGAACAGCTGCACCTGGCCTCCTGGAATGGTCCTTAGGTACTTGACGCCAGGAAGGGGCGTGTTTACAGGAAGTGACTTCATTGAGAACAAAAATCACAAACTACTGCTTTGTGTGTGTGTGTGTGTGTGTGTGTGTGTGTGTGCGCGCGCGCGCGCGTGTGTGTGTGGGGGTGTTGAAAATGAAACCTTTAAACCCTGGCTGCGGATGTCTGGCCCGCCCTACAGATTTGGTTTCATGTTTGCTCTTGTGCCGTTCGGCTTAAAGAAATTATGGGCAGGGAGGAGGGAGAGGCGGCGCGCGTGACATCCTAGAATGGAGTCACGGGGAAGATGATGGACTAGAAGATGTGGGTGTGTATACCAACGCGGAGCCAGGAAGGGCCGTTCCCCCCAGAGCCCCGGGGGTAACCTGAGGTGCAGAACACCTAAAAGATACAACCATGTAAGGGAGGAGTCAAGGGGAGGTGGGTGGGGTAAGAGAGGAGGAGGACCAGAGGGAGGGGACACAACATGACCTTGGCCCAAACCCGTGCTCAGCTTACCTACCACAGAAAGATGAAAATGGTCAGCCCAAAAGCTTGTCGTCTGCTGACAGACCTCAGAGCATTAGGCAGCTTTCTGCCTGCCACGCGGGCCTTCCTCCACAACACTATCATAGTGAACACAGGAAGCAAGCAGTAGGGAAGCACGTGGGTCCAGTGTCATCCCAGGCAGCTATGTCTATTTAAGTATTCTATGAGGCTGGCCGGCTGTCCTTTTGATAACCATGCACTGACCCTCCTCAGTGTGTCCCTGGGGACTGTAAGAACAGAGCCCTGGCCTTCACTAGCGCCCTAGGCGCAGGGCGTCATTACACAGCATCAGAAGCCTGTAGTGTCCCACCCACCTGATGCTTCCACCAACACATTTTAAAGTGTCTTGCTCCGTGACTTTCTTTGTTCTGCTATTATAAAAGTTTCACAAAAGGGTTGGAGAGGTCGCTCAGCGATTAACAGCACCGGCTGCTCTTGCTGAGGAACAGGATTCAGTTCCCAGCCACCCACATGGCAGCTCACAACCATTTGCGCCTCCAGTTCCTGGGGATCTGATGCCCTCTTTTGGCCTCTGCAGGCTCCAGGCACGCACACAGAACACATCCATACATGCAGGCAAAACACCCCTACACACACACACACACACACACGTTTCTATACCCCTACACACACACACACACACACACACACACACGTTTCTATATATTACATATATAATAAATCTACCTTTAATTTTTTTTCATGAAACCATTACTGCATTGGCACATACTGCATGAAGTAACCTGGGTTCCCAGGCTATGATAAATACATATATATGAGATAGAGTTATGTATTTACCATTGTCTGCCCCTTTGAGGACAACATCACCCCATCATAAATACTTGATATGTCAAGGCACCCACCCCCAAGTCTTGGGATGTTCAGAAACGTGGAAAACGACTCAATAGAGAAGTCAGAGTGGGGGATTTGAGAGTGGGAAACCCATCACACACAGAGCAAGGGCCCAGCTGTCTCAGCGGGCTTCTTCCCCATGGACACCTTTCAGTCACCGGCATCTTGCCTCAGTTTCACCTGATGGTCCAGGCGTCAGAGGAAATGTAGATAGATTCCCACAGAGATCCCAGGATGGGGCTGGAAATGTCACAGATACGACTCTGCTTCCAGTTTCGTGACACAGAAATGTAGTCGTGAGGAAAAAATATGTATTGCTGAATTAACTTAAATTTGTAAAAACACAGGAAGAGGAGGTGCCCAGTAATAGAGCACTCGGTGTCAGGAGGGCCCGGTGTCCCTGAGGGCCGCAATTCAAATGAACTTCCTTAGAAATATGGGCGTATGGGGATCCTGCGTGAGGGGCTTCAGGCTTGGCTGAGAAGGGGAAAGTGAGAAATTGATGAGGGGCAGGGTACCAGGGCGTGACAGACATGGCGAGCCCCCACTTCAGTCCTCTGGAGTTGTCTGGGGCCTGCAAATTGAGGCGACCTGTGATTACACATAGCGCCTGCAGGTGGCGCCCCATCATGGATGGGAGAGCCCAGACTCTCCATTGCAGTCCTGAGACACTCAGAGGCAGTGTGCTCACTCCTGCCCCACTATTGGGCCCCACCGGGGACAGCCATTCCTGCTGCACAGCCGGGCCTCAGCTAAGCCTTTCTGTTTGCTCAGATTCCACTAACACAGTTTTTGTTCTGATTTCAGGTCTGGGGGCAGGGCT